TTGGATTAAGCTTGTCAATTGTATTGTTTAAATCTTCTATAATATATCCCAACTGGACTTTTAAAAAGATTTTATTTATTTATCTTTAGAGGGGAAGGGAAGGAGAGAGGGAGAGAAATATCAATGGATGGTTGCCTCTTGTGGGTCCCCTGATGGGAACTGGCCTGCAACCCAGGCATGTGCCCTGACTGGGAATCAAACTGGTGACCCTTTGGTTCGCAGGCCCGTGCTCAATCCACTGAGCTACACCAGCCAGGACCTGACTTAATTTTTTTTAAACTGTTTAAACTACCAACTCCAGAGGGAGGAGACTTAAATCTCCCTTTGTACTGGCAGACTGGTCTATTTTTTTCTACTGTTTCTGCTTTATGATTCTGAAGTCATGTTACCAGGTGCGTACAACTGCAGAATGGTTCTCTCTCCCTGATTAGTTGAGGCGGGAAAGAACCCTACCATCTCTCCTTGTGGGTGGATTTTTTTCTTACATTTACCCAAGGATGTCACCTTCGGGCACCCTCGACTTTTGTGAGGGGCGGGCTGTCTTCCATCCAACCTCCTCCCACCCCAAGAGGCAGGTCTTGCCTTGTTCCTCTCTGGGTTTGTGCATCTGGGGTTTTTTTTTTCGTGCCAGCTCAGCCTTGCACTGAAAATGACACACACATTTTGTCTCTGTCTAGCATTTTTGGCTGTTTTGTATCAGAAGGGTTTCTCTGGAAATAAAGTCCACCTAATTGCTAGAAATAAAGGTTTCTGCTAAGCCCTTTACATGACATTTTATTTACTATTAAAAACAGTTCCATGATACCCTATCCCAATTCTTTTTCAGAATAAGAAAACTGAGGCTCAGGGGCTTTCCGGCTGGGTTTGGATGCTGGCCGTGACACTGACCAGCTGCGTGGCCTTGCTAGATCGGTCACTCAAGTGGGCACGGAGGCCAGAGAGCACAGCAACGAGGTCCGCCTTGCAGGGCTGATGTCCAGCTGCAAAGGACACGTGGCAGGTGCCTGCCTCTGCCCTGCTACACTCGGTGCTGGTGCTTGGGAGATGTCAGTGACCGTTGGTGTCTACAGGGAAGGGACATGTGCCTGGTGCTAGGGACATGTCCTCTCTTCATTGAGAGGTGTTGACAAGGATAGCTCAAGTGTCTGCTGGAGAGTTACCGGGGAGACCATAAAAGACACATGTCTTGACCGCACCTCCCACGAGATTCTGATTCGGATGCATGGCCAGGTTGGGCACCTGTGTCCCCAGAGGTGTGGTTTGAGAAGAGCCGTCCACGCCGTTCCCCTGGGCTGCCCTCTAGTGGCTTATGGAAAGAGGTGTAGTAGGGTTCCCACCCTCACCAACCACAAGCTGCCAGGAAGAGGGAGGAATAGAGCAGCCCTCTTTGGTTAGACAGCAAGCAGCTTGCTTTCATTTTACTTTAACTTTTGAATGGGTAATACATGCATCTGGCTGAAAAATCGCAACGGTATAGGAAGCAATGGGTTGAGAAGTCTCGCACCCACTGCCGCCTTGTCTGCCCCGTTTCCCCAGCACCTCACAGGTACCACTCTCACTACTTTGTGCAAAGGGAAACAAGTGTAAATCCTTATTTTCACCTCCTTTTACACACAATGCAGAGATGAGGCCCATTTCTGGGATGCAGGAGAACTGACTGTGAGCTGTCCTGGGAATGTGAGTGTGAGCTGTCCTGGGAATGCCAGGCCTCCAAGCTTAGATCTGGAAGTCTGGAAGGCCCCTGCCAGAGGAGGGCTCTCCGGTTTAGGGCCGAGGCTGAACCAGGGCCTGGAGACAAGCGGGGCCCTTAAGCACAGGCTCCCTGCTTAAACCTGACCAGGTACTACTCTCCCTCCCCCGGGCCTGCCGACATGCAGCCCTGTCCTCTTTCATTCAACATTTAAGTCCTGTGCGGGGGATGCAGGGATGGAAAAGATGACACAGCCTCTGCTTTGCAGAAAGAAAGAGACAGATCCTCACTTGCCTTGTGAGGAAGACTTTCAAAGAGGCCTCACCAAAGATCAAAAGGCCTGCCAGTGCCCTCTGTCAGTGGGGGGCCGGGGGAACAGGCAATCTCATCCCTTGCTGGGGGCTGCAAAGTGGGGAAAACTTTTCGGAGGGCAATTCCATGAAAACCTTTCCAAAATTTAAAAGCTTATAACCTTTGACCCAGCAATGTCATGTTTATACATTTGTCTTGCAGATACACCCATAAGTGCAAACGCAGAGACGGGCGGAGACAGGTTGGGCAGGCAGTGGGGTGCCCACGAGGGGGGGAGTGAGAGCAACAGGGGCGCAGCTGCGTGATGGGGGCGGTGTAGAGTGGGCAAAGGCAGATAGCTTCTTAAGTGCCCGGTGTGCTATCACTGTGTCAAACACACACACGCACACACACACCACCTGTGTACATCCAAACTATCTCTTGAAAGACACATTAAGACTGTTTTTCTTTTTAACTGTGCACGTGTCTTACCTTTTATTTTTATTTTTAAGTGGCATCCGCTGAGCCATGGTGAGCAGGAAGGAGATTCCTGAAGAAACCTGCTCAGTCACCTAACCTCTGAGTGTAGCCAGTGACTACACAATCCCTGCATTGGAGGTGACAAGGCAACAACAGTCTGGAAATGTCACCCACGCTGTGACTCCATCTTCACCACTGGAGGCCTCGCCCTACCTTGGCTGTCATACTGCTTGTGCCCAGCAGGGGGAAGCACAGACCCACCAAAGCATTGGTTCCAAACTCCACCAAGCCTCCCTTCTAGGATTTCCTTCTCTGTGGACCCCCATTGGTAAGTTATGTTCTGCCAAGCCAAACATATTTCTTAGGTAATAATTGATTAAATCCTCCCCATCCCGTATTTTGTAACTCACAGTTCTGATCAGCACAAGGGAGAGAGTGTAGGCCTGAAAGGCTGGATGTGTTCCACATGAGATATCCTGCTTAGCCCAGCCTGACTTCCACCACACGAGGGGCGAGGGGTGGTTGGCAGTGGCCTGAGCACCCCCAGGTGTTGAGGGCGCAGGCTGGCAACTGTGCATCAGAGGCTCCCCACCCTGCTCGGATCTGCAGCTGCGGGCACAGCTCCTGCCCTTCTCTAGAGGAAGGAAGCCTGAGCACCTGGCACCGCAGGCTCGACTGCAGCCGCCACTGTCCCAGACGTGTTTAGAGTCTGTCCCTTGCTAGGCTGTGAGCAGCCCAGGGACAGGGACTCTTCTCATCTGCCAGGGAGCCTCCCGGAGTGAGCACCGTGCTGGGCACACAGCTGGCGCTGAGTAAAAATTGTTGTTAAATGGAAAGAGACAGCCATCGAGGAGATCAGGGACCGAATTCTTCAAAAGGAAGAAAGGGGGTGGGGGTGGGGAAAGAGGTGCTAGCTAGTCTCAAGGGCAAGAACCCAAGGGCAAGATGCTGGTCTGTCCTAGGCTGGCAGTGAGGGCAGTGGGCACAGAACGGATCACCTTCTGTGCATGCCCGAGGAAAATTCCACTTAGTCTTGCCTTATGGGTCCCTGGCTGGCACAGAAAATATGTGACTACATCTCCCACCCGTCTGAGGAGCTGATGAGTGAATGACCTTGGTAGAAAGGTTTATATCAGGGTGACCTGGGGGAAGGGCTGGCACATTCCAGGGCCTTTATTAACATTAGTTAGTTAATTCCCCAGCTCCTGTTTAAATTCTTGTCAGGTCTTTTTTTTTTTTTAATTTGAGAGGGAGGGTGGAAGGAAGAAGCTATAAGGGGAGGGACACTTATGGCCACTGGCCTGGCCTAGAGAAAGTCCAGGGCTCATTAATGGGCCCTCCCTCCTCCATGGAGGAACAGATTGGGGATCCCCACAAATTAAATGGGGTATGAGGGGAGCAACTGAAAGAGAAAAGCTTCAAGTTCAGCCTGGAGAGTGTGTCCAGGCCTGAGGTTCTACACCCCCTAATACTCTGTCATCCTCTGGTCCATCCGAAGAGAGAAGGACAGTGGGGCCCCAGGACAGCAGCTCCAAGGCAGCGTCGATTCTGAGGGTGGACAGAGAGGAGGCCTATTTCTGTCTTTTATTAGCTGTGTGCCCTTGGATGAGTCACTTAACCACTCTGAGTCTCAGTTTCCCCATCTCGAAGATGAGCACATCGATCCTGTCTCCCGTGGTCATTGTCAGGGTTAATGACAGAAGACCTCTGGAAATATTTCTGTAATTGCCAGACCTCAGAGACTGTTATTCTCCAAGATGAGAGGCTACCTAGGTCCCTGGAGATGACAGCGTCAAGGAGATCCCCCCCTGTCTGCAGTGCCTGCCCCTTTCCCAGCCTGGATGCTTTAACACTCCACTCCCAACCCCCACGCTTCTCCTTGAGACTGCCTTGGTGGTCCTCAGATTCCGGAATTCTGCCCTTTCCCATTCTAAAACCACTGGGGATGCGGCGCAGGCGCAGAGTTGGTCCAGGGTGGGACAGGTCGCGGGGTGGGGGGGTCTCCGCCTGCCTGCGTCTGAGCCCTGCTTTGGGGTTCTCATTTGCAGATGGTTCCCTCTGGTCCTCAGCTCTTCTCTGGGCTAAACAGAGGAGAGAAACAAGGGGTGGGGGACCTGGAAGGGGGTTCCCACCTTCTCATTCAGGAACCCGAGAGGGGGACTCAGCCCTTATGCCTCGATGCTGCCCTTGGTGCTCACAATTCCCGGCTCAGAGGTTTGCCTTCTCCGGCCCCCAGCGATGACCCGATTCGCCCAGACCCCGCCAATTCCTCGGCTGGGAGCGAGTGAGAGCCTGCGGTTCTAGGACCCGGAGGCGCTGCCTTACGCGCCGCCGCCTCTGCCTAGCCTGGGTCGCCTCCCGCTCCGGCAGGTGAAGCGGGGCCGGCCGCCCCCTCTGCGGCAGGTGAACCGGGTCGGCAGCCCCCTCCCCGCCGCGCCATGGCTGCAGCGGACCCCTGGCCGGCACCCCGCGTCCGCCCCCTCCCTCCAGCCCGCCCCCGTGGGGCTGGGTGCGTAGCGGCGGAGGCGAAACGCGGTTTGCGCGCAAGGGGAGCGATAGCAGAAGTTAGAGACTCGCCGAGGGGGGAGCCCGAGCCGCAGCTTCCTGCCCCCGGCCCAGCCCTCTGTCCCCGGCGGCCTGCTGCCTGACTTCCTCCCCCCACCCCGCAGCTCGCTGCCCCGCTGCTCGGACGGGCCACCGCGATGGGACACCGCGCCCTGGCCCCTGCGCGCCGCTGAGCCGAGCTCCCGCGTCGCTGAGCGCCCATCACAGCTGCCAGCCGCTGCTCACCTCGCCCCCCCAGGCCTGGAGCCTCCTCCCCCGCCCCCCGGAAAGCTGGATTTCCGAGGCTGGAAGCGCCTGGCCGGCTGGGTGGGGACCACCATGGGCAACGCGGCCGGCAGCGCGGAGCCGCCCGCGGGCTCCGCCGCACCGTCACCCAAGCAGCCTGCTGCACCCAAGCAGCCGATGCCCGCGGCAGGAGAGCTGGAGGAGAGGTTTAACCGGGTCCTGGTGAGTGTGACCTGCCACGCTCAGGGCGCAGGCGGGGGGCGGCTGGAGCTCGGCACGCGTCCCCGCCCCCGGGGGCTCAGGTACCGCTTGGAGATCCTCGGCCCAGTGGCCGCCCTCCACCGGGTGGGACTGTCAGTGGCTTCTTTCAGAGTGACTTAGCACTCTCCCCCCAAAACTTTCTTCTTCAGTCACCCAGTCTCCCTCCCCGAGACACCCTGTCCCCCTCCCCCGGCGCTCTTGGGTCTAAACTAAAGGTATAAGAAAAAATGTCCTGTGAGGAAGTTGGGAGCGGAGCACGGAAAGGGGTTCCGGGGACACCCCTCTCCCCACCGCGCGCAGGCCCAGACACCAGGTGCGGGTCTGGAGCATCTGCTGGTGTCCCAGGGTCAGACATGGAAGGGGTCACACTCGAACCTCCTGGGAGCTGCAGCCGGTCTGAGGTGTTAGGTCCCGATTTGTGTGTTGGTGCATAGGCTGCCGGGAGCTGGGCTGTGAGGTCCTGCTGAAGGCCCGTCTGTGTTTCCAAACCCCTACGTCCAGAACAGGTTGCCTGTGGGTCCTTGGGCATCTGGTCCTACCTACCCAAGGGATTAAGGTGAGGAAGGGCGGGGTCAGGATGGGGTGCTCACTCTGGCTTGGAGCAGAGCAAAAGCCTGGAAGCACCCCACTCTGCCCTCTGTCACCTGCCCCCCCACCCCCGAGGAACTGGGGGGCTGGAGGACTAGGCCACTAGGGAGGGAGCCGTCAGCTCAGGCTGAGCCCCGAAGCAGTCGGGACGCCTTTGGTGGTTGGCAGCTCCAGAGCAAAGTCAGGGTCCCCCAAGACCTGGTGGGAGGCAGAAGTGGGGGGAAAGGCCACTCCTTCCCACTTCCCTTTCCCCACCTCAGCCCTGTCCCAGGCTCCTCTCTCTAACGAATCGCCTGGTGGCCTGTCTGCTGTCAGCTCCCCGCTGGACGCCGGCTGACAGGCCAGGGAGGCCGAGCGTTCCCCAGGGGCACTTCGCAGGATGAGCAGGCTGGCAGTGCAGGCCTGAGGGTGGGGGCCCAGAGAGGAGCGGCAGCAGGGCAGAGCTGGCTGGCCCCGGGGCCGGCGCTTCTCCCCTCTACCTCCTTGACATCATTTCCCCTCCCCTGGCCCTTAGGCCCTCCTTGCCAGATCCTCTGCGCTGCTCCTCCTAACAGTTCCTGGATTTCTTGGCTGCTGCCCCCTCCCAGGAGAAAGGCGAGGAGGAGTTTGGAGGAGCTATGGGGTGGGGTCTGGTCTATCCTTGTGAAGGCATTTTGCTCGATTAGGGGAGAGGGAGGGACTTGGAGGGACACTTCACACCAGGCTAGGCCCTGATCCCCCATCTCCCCACTTGCTCCCCCTGTCCCAAACCCACTGCCTGGCCTGGCGAAGCTGAGTTGAGCTGCACAGATAGGGAGGGGGGAGAACGAAGACAGACCCTGTCTGGGGGCCGCCTGGGGAGCCTGAGTTGCTGGTGGATCCCTGGACTTGGGCCCACCTGACAGAGGGGGGACCTGGGTCTCCATGTGCCCCGAGTGTGTATTTGTGGATGGCAGTAGGGCCGGCTCTCAGGATGAGGTCCCGGCCTTCTCATTACCACACTGATGAGGAGGAGCCCTGTGCATAATTCAGACCAGTGGAAAATCCAAAAGTCAAATGGTGAGGTTCTGATGCATGTGTAGGGCTTGACTGCTCGCTCTGCTGGCATTTTGGCCTTTGCTTCCATTGGCTGAGTCTGACACTGACTGCCACTGGGAGCCCCTAAGTAGCAGGATGTGGAGGGTGGAGGCCCCAAGATGGGTCTTAGAGGGTGTCCTGGTGGGGAAGAGGGCGGTGGCTAGGTAGAAATCTAGGGCAGCACCACCCCCACCCTCAGGCGCCCTGGTGTGTTTACACTTCTCTTTCTACCTGGGGAGGGGTCCGCCTGTCCCTCATCCTGTACAAGCAGAAAGCATCCAGGCAGGCTCACTTGGCTAATTACTTGGCTCCTCTCACTTCCCACCCCCAGGGGCATGCGCTCTGCTAGGGGGCGACAGCCTTGCTCCCTCCTTGAGGCTGCCCAAGGCTAAAGATTTGGTTAAACCCACAGGCCTAGCAATGAGTATTGCAGGGTACGCCTTCATGGGGGCGCCACCTCCCCAGCTAGAGTGGATTCCTGTCGTTAGCTATGAGGAGGAGAGCCTCAGACTGCTGAGAGTGAGGGGCCACCGCCTCCAGAGACCCCCCGGTCTTGATGGGAGAAGCACTCCCTTTGGGGTGTAGTCACTTGGCCCCAGGGTACCTCTTCCTTTCACTTAAGCTCCGCCCTTTCACTCCTGGTATGGAGTGGGATCCTGAAACCCTGAACCACTTCGCTGCTCCTGGCTCTGGGACCCACCTTGTGGGTGGGTGGGAGGTGCCCCCATCATGGCTGACAGTGAGAAAAAAGAGGGCTTGCTCTCCCTTTCCCCATGGGCAGCCTTTCTCCCAGTGGTGGGTGCTGGGGGCTACTTTCTAAAGAAGGTTGTAAGAGAGAGGGGTGTCCCTGCTTAAAATGCGGGTGGGGAGAGAGAGCAGGTTGAGCCAGGGTTTCCGGCTGCTGCCTTAGCAACAGCGGAGGAGCGATGGCTGCCCAGCCACTCGGGCCTGTTGCAATGGTGGGAAACTGGCCCGCCAAGCTCTGCACTCTCGCCTCTCCTACGCCAGGCCCGGGGCTGAGTGTCTTCCAGCCCCTGCAGGCCTTCCCCTGCCAGGGTGAGGGTTTGGGATGGCAAGGCACTGTTTCCAGGCCTGCGAGAAGGGCCATGCCTCTGGTGAGGCATTGGACACTCCTGGTCTGCCTGGGCAGGGAGGAGCCTGTCCTTGGGGCAATGGGATCAAGGGAAGGTGCCCAGGATGCTGTGCTGAAGGCCGAGGGAGATGCTGGTACCCAGGAGGAGGCCGCACCAGTTGGAGAAGAATTTGCTTGTTGGGGCCTCATGCCCCGGGGTGCTCTTAGCATGTGCCTAGGGTCACGGGCACTTGGCCAGGCTATGTGGGAGGTTGGGACAGCCCCAAGCAGGGTACGGAGGCTGGGGTCCTGCTTTCAGCTGGGCCCCTTCCCTGCTGGGGCCAGGTGGAGATCTCCAGTCTGTTGGCCTGTGACAGAGGCACTGTCTCCTTGACCAACTCCCTCCTCTGGGGTGGGGCAGATGAAGCATGTGGGCATGTAGCTGGGGCGGGGGGTCACTCAGGCCGGTGCCCCCCCTCCTTCGGGTGTCTCACTGAGGATCCCAGTGCAGTTGTGGCCATGCCGTCAGGTGTCGTGCTGGGCAGAGGCTGTGGGCTGACATTCCCAGCAGTCAGGGTTGGCACAGGCTGACCCTGGAACCCAGGGTTGTGGTGGGCATGATTCACAGTGGGTGACATCTGGAGCCGGTTGGCAAAGAGCTGGGTGAGATGGGCAGGAGCAGGTGGGGCTGCTTTTGGGGCTGCCTCTGCATTCTTCCCAGGAACATGGAGACCTGGGAGGTGGCTCGGGCCCCCTGCCTCTGCCCTGCTACTCACAGGAAGGGCAGAGTAGCTTCCTGGGCTGGGGGGGTCATGGCACTTGGGGGTGGAATTTTGTCTCTGCCACTCTGAGCTTCAGTTCTCCTCATGGCTAAGAAGAGAATGATGGCGTCTGTCTAGGATGGTTGGAGGGATGGAGCAGAGCTGCGGGGTAACGAACGCTTGCACAATGCCTGAGAGGGAGCAGGTGCCCTCAACAGTCTCCACCGGGAGGAAGGGGACAGTGAGGGAGCCCTCCTGGGCCCAAGAGCCCGGCTCTGCCTCTCCCCCCACCCCCATGACAAGACCAACCCAGGTTGCTGTCTTGAGCCATCAGGGGCCAGGCTGCCCTCCCTGCCATCACTCAGGTTAGGAACAGTGGGGCCTCCACTGCCTGATGTCCGGAAACCACGAGAGGGAGGGCCCACCTCTCTCGGAGGGTGGGGCAGCGGTGGTGCTAACGGTAGCTGGTAGCTGAGCGCACATGCGGAGGGGGTGGGGAGGCCTCCACTTCCCTCTGAGACAGGGTGTGCTGGGGGGGGGGTTCCCCAGTGAGTAAGAGCTCAGTGTGGGCAACAACAGGAAGCACAGGGTGCTGGGTGGCAGGAAGTGGGGCTGGCTGTTCCTGGTTCCTCCGACGAATGGGGCCAAGCTGTCTGCAGGAGACCCTGGGGGGTCAGGGCCCACATCTGTCATAGTCCTCAGTGCTCCTTCTTCTGAGAAAAGTGAATCTTCTTACCGGCTTGCCAGCCAGGTCACCTTGAGCAAGCCACTTAATCTCTCTGTGCCTCAGTTTCCCATTTGTGAAGTGGGGAATTGTCATGGTATCAATTCTGTTGTTGAAGTTTAAATGACCTCATAGATGTAAAGCACTTAGAACTGAACCTAGTGCTGAGTGTTTCGGGAGAATTTATTACGTCGCTGTGCTGCTACCAGCTTGGCTTATGGGCCGTCCCTCTGCCCTGGCTCCCACCCTGCCTGCCCCCGGTCGGTCCCTGTTGCGTGAGCCCTTGACCCCGGTGGGAGGAGCTGCTAGCTTTTGGGGTACTCAGTACCTGATTCTAGGCCCAGGTTACCCAACAATCCTCTCCTGGAAGCCTGGGATCTCTTGTAAGAGCCCCCCAAAATCTCTATGCCGGAATTTTTTAAGTGAATAAAGTGGATTGTTTTTGGAGATAGGCTGAATGGTCCGAAGCCCAGGAGGAGGCCAGAGAGATGTGGGTTGGGGGGAGATGGATGGGGAAGTGGGGATGGGGGCACAGGGCCACTGCTAGGCTCGACAGGCTGTGGAACTGCTGCAGAGCTGGTCTGAGACTGGGTTTGGTACCCAAGGTCAAGAGCATCTGGGGCTGGAGGGACGGGCGTCAAGGGGAGAGGGTGGGTAGGTAGATTGGAATGAGTCTCAGGTCAAATGAAAGTGAAACTGGAGGGTGTGGCTGTGTCCTGATGTAGCCAGAGCCCTTTCAGTCCCCAGGGATACCCCCTGATGTCAACACTGGGAGGGGCAAGGCATAAACCTTGCAAGGGGGTGGTCTTGGGCAAGTGAGGCTGGAGGCCCCTCCCGCACTCAGAGAGGTAGGGGCTGGGAAGGAGAAGACCTACCCCCACACGTTCTAATAGAAACATTGGGAAATCAGGCCCTTTCCTTAGCTATGCACCAGGAGATGACTCTTCCTTCTCTTCCTGACCCAAAGCATAAAGGGCAGCGAAAGGGGGCCGAAGGGTCTGTTCATTCTTGGCCGAGCCTTGGTGACGGATCTGTTCCATCTGGATGTTCTCACTGACTTCCACTCGCCACACGACCCCTGACCTCGGCATCAGAGATGAACTCCCCCCACCCCCGGTCTGTGAAATGCCTCTTCACTGTGGTGCATCAGCAAAGGGCGTTATTACTGGGTCAGGACGCGGCTTCACATGGGGTGTTCCCAGGGGTTCTGTGAGTCTATGAGGCAGCAGGGAAGTGTGCCCACTTTATGGAGGAGGAAGCTGAGGCTCAAAAAGCAGAGAAACTATAGGGCTGGTGGGCCCAGAGCTGGGCCTCGCGTTGTAGCCACCCCTTGCCCCTTTCCCCTCACGGAGGCAAGTCTCGCACACCTGACCCCCCTTCGGTTCCCTCTGAGCTCGGTTGGCCAGACCTCTGCTTGTCCCCCAGCCCCCAGCCCCGTGGTGCTGCCTCCTCCTGAGGGCCCCGGGTCTGGGGGTCCCTTCTGGTTTTGCAGGGTGGCCTCACCCCACTCAGAGCGAGCGGCACCCACTGGCCCTGCTCCCGCTCCCTAGGGTGCCCATCTCCTCGGTGGGCACAACCAAAGAACAGCTGCTAATTAGGGCTCAGCGCTGTCAGAGCTATTTCTGATTTCGGAGCCTAAATTTAGCCTGACTGGCAGGCTGGTATGTAGGCCCGGGGGCCTGAGGAGGCCCAGGTGGGGAAGGGACAGAGGGGGCCCCGTCCTCCACCACTGTCGGGACAGGTGTGTCAGCTCCGTCAGACGCTCCCCCTCCCCACTAACAACGAAGGGGCCCGTCCTGGACCAGGGCACTGGTTCAGACACAGCTCTGGGCTCAGGGCCCACCCAGCTCCCCTCTTATGGGTTTCATGACCTTGGGCAGGTCACCAGTCTGTGCCTGCACCTGTAAGACGGTTATACTAATGGTGGACTAACAGTACCGGTGATGATGGTGAGGGCGCATGGTGGTCATCCCAGCCAGGGCAGGGCTCGGAGCAAAAGCTGGTCCCTGTAACTGTTGGGGTCATCACTGTGGCTAGTCGCTGCCTCTAGAAGTGCCACTGGGGTCATCCCAGGAACCAGATAGGTCCCCGGGGTGGGTGAGGGCCCAGAAGGACCCACGTCAGGACATGGCTCTCCCCTCTAGCGCTCAGCCACCCCACACGCCTCCCCCGACTCTCCTCTTCTCTGGTTCTGGCCTCTGCCCCAGTCTCCTTGTTACTGCCTTCCCTCTCTCCCTGCTTCCTCCTCCCCCTCAGCCTCGCCTCCTACCTGGGCCCTGCCCTGCCCTGGATCTCTGGGGGGTGGGGATGGATCAGGAGGAGCGTGGTGGGGGAGAGGAGAGAATGGTACCAGGGAGGCCTGCCTGGCCCAGCAGGACCCTCCCAAGGCCCCTGTCTGGGCCCCCCCCCCAAGTGGCAGGAGCTGCGCTGGCTGGTGTGGGGTTGGGGGAGGTACCAGATGAGACGGCAGCAGTTTCCTCGGTCGGGGCTCACTTTCACAATAGGGGTGCGGAATGACGTATCCCCATGCCCAGCCATGCCAGGGCGGTGGGGTGGCGGTGGGTAGAGGGGCGGTTCCACCTCTCAACTGGAACCCCAGACGGAAAGCTTGGGCAATGGGGGTTGAGAGCACCCAGCTTCCTGTTTGGGGCTGAGCAAAGGCAGTGATTTTGGGGATGAGGTCTGGCCAGAGACCCAGACGAGGCTCAGCACCCCAGAGAGGAAGCGGGCTGAGGAGCCTCAGGTCGGGGGGGCCCTGTCCGTTCTAGCTGGGGCCTTTCCTCTTGGGCAGCGTGAGCAGGTGGTAGGGCGTCCTCTCAGCACCGAGGAGACTCGGAGCTGCTTTCTGGGGTCTGGCATGTGGTAGGTCCTCAGTAAGCCAGGCGTGTACTGAATCGGGGTGAATCGGCGTCGTCTTCTGGGTCTGTTGGGAAGACACGCTAAGTCTTGGGGTCCGGGGGTCCCCGAGGAGACCTACCCCCGTGACAACGCCCGTGATTCCGCAGCCTGAGGCGGGACCCTGCGTGTGCCCCGGCTCATGTCCTGTGGGTGAGAAGGTGGACAGGGACACCGCACCCACGTCACGTGTTGCCTCGGGGGGACCTAGGCAGGGCAGTGCTGATGATTCTTAGCCCCGAGGGGAGTCCCAGCCTGGGCCACCAGCACCACAGACCCAGCAGCACACAGCCAGCTCGCCCCACGCCCAGCGGCCGGTGACCTTTCCCTGGAATTTCCCCTCCTCCGCCTCCGAGCCATGATGCACCTGCTTGGAACTGCCTGCCCTTCTGACCTCAGCATCGAGGCCTGTCCCTGCCTCCTTCCTTCCAGAAGTGACGACATTCTAGGGGCTGCAGAAGGACGGGGAAGAGGAAGACTGCTGTCTGCCGTGGCTGCAAGAAGTTTCCTTTTTTAAAAAAAATTACGTTTTATTGATTATGCTGTTACAGTGACCCAATTTCCCCCCTCTGCCCTCCTCCACCCAGTGCCCCCCGCTCCCTCCAGCCAGCTCCACACCCTCGTTCACGTCCGTGGGTCACGTGTGTAAGTTCTTTGGCTACTCCATTTCCCATGCTGTACTTTCCATCCCCGTGGCTCTTCTGCAACTACCTACTTGTACTTCTTTTTTTTAAAGATTTTATTTATTTTATTTTTAGAGAGGGGGAAGGGAGGGAGAAAGAGAGAGAGAGAAACATCAGAGTGTGGTTGCCTCTCGCATACCCCTTACTGGGGACCTGGCCTGCTATCCAGGCAGGTGCCCGGACTGGGAATTGAACCGGCGACCCCTTGGTCTGCAGCCCATGCTCAATCCACTGATCTACACCAGACGAGGCCTACTTGTGCTTCTTAATCCCCTCACCTCTTAACCCAGCCTCCCGCACCCTCTCCCATGTGACAACCATCTGGAACTAACTTCTTTGCTGCGAGAAGTTTTCTGGTGTTTGTGCGACACTGGTGCTCTGGGCCAAGGGAGTGCGCAGTTGGCACCTGGTGGCATGTGGGTGGCACTTGCGCCTGGTTGCAAATGGCCTCCCTGTTAGCTTCTCACCCAAATGGGAGAAAAGAAGATAGCCCCTTATCACACACGGGGAGATGATCCCAGAGGTGCTTGAGGCCCCAGGAAGTTAGGCTGAGAACCCACACCCCTGCCCACACGGCAGGGGTGCCAGGGAGGAGGGGTGGGGGGCTGGAGCTCAGGTCTGGAGGCGGGCACACTCCGACTCACACCCCTGTCTCTTCCTCCATGTCCAGCCTGGGGCGAGGGCTCCATCTCTGCGCCTCAGTCTTCTTATTGGCCAATGCTACTGACCCCCCAGGCTGAGGGTGACTGGGATTCATGTGAATGACAGACCTACTAAGGGGGCTGTTCCCTGGAGATGCCCATGTTCCACCCCCCACCTCCTACTGGGGCTCCAGGCTCAGGGTCTTTACCTTGTCTTCCCCTCCCCAGAACTGCATGAACTTGCCCCCGGACAAGGTCCAGCTGCTGAGCCAGTATGACAATGAGAAGAAGTGGGAGCTCATCTGTGACCAGGTGGGTACCGGGACCCTTCTACCACCGGGACTCCCTGCCCTGGCCAGGCCGGGACTGGCAGGAGAAGGGCACTGCCAGGCCACTCATAGGACCAGGACCCTGCCCAGAGGCCAGTACAGCATCTGGGGAGGGTGCTGGGGGCATCTGCAGGACTCTGGAATCCCCCCCTTTTGGATATGGGCCTCCCCGGGGACCTTATGAATCCTGAGCAGGGCCAGGTCTGTCCTCTGAAGAGCTGGCAGGGACTTCTGAGCTTCCTGGAGCAGCCTCTGACGACCCTTCAGCTCTGGGTGGGGGAAGGGAGGGGGTAAGCCCAGGGTTGGACATTTTTACCTGACCCCAGGGGAGACGGGCAGGATCCCTGTCTTCCTTTTACCTTGGGTCCAGGGGAGCTGCCCTCAACAAGCAGCTTGTGAGGGCCACCCAGTTACCAAGCGGTGCGGCAGGGACTAGAACCCCTGTATGTTGGTGCTCAGTCAGGTGCTGGGCTCTCCATCTTCCCAGCTCACTGGCTGCTGGGCCTTTCCAGCTTTAAGGGCTGCTGTCCATGGTAGCAGGAGGACCCCTCCCACTGCAGGGGCAGGGAGGGGCCTTGTTGCTGTACTGATTTAGGATGGAGGGAGGCTGGCCTGTGGCGGCGGAGGCTAGGGTGGGGCTCGGGGAGCAGGGAGTCTCCCCCGGGAGCCTGGGCTAGGCCTACAGCAGCTGCTAATGGATGGGAGGAGCTGGCAGGGCAGGAGTTGGGGGTGGGGGCGGGGAAAGGGCCGGGCCTTGGGGAGAGGGTGGGGAGCTGCCACCAGAGGCTTGGGGGCTGTAGTAGGGTCCCTGCCACTTGGCCTGGCCTCTCAGATTGGAGCTCAAAGGCCTGGGAGAGGTGGGAGGTAGGGAGCTGGGCAGATCGAGGGGTCTGGGTTGGGAGGGATGGGAGCCCCTCAGGGTGGGAGGCCTTTGATGTGGCCCCCTCCTCTTTGTGTGAGTGGCTACTGCAGCCCTGGGTGGGGCTGGGGAGTTAGGAGTACAGGAGATGGGCACCCACAGGTGCCTACCATCCCAGGTGGTGTCCTGGGGAAGGGACTGTCTGCCTGTGGAGGGCCTGGGCCCTTCACTGAGCCCCTCCAAGTGTTCCTCTTCCCAGTACTCCCAGCTGGGGGTTGGGTGTGGCCAGGGTGGGTGGGGGATGGGAGGGGCCCCCTACTGGCCTGTCTGAGTCTCCTCCCAGGGTGGGGTGCATGGCCGGCCTGACCCCTCTGTACTGCACCCCAAGGCTGTGCTAGGGCTGGGGCCTGTGAGGCCACAGTGGGAAGGAAAGGCCAGGCCTGGGGCCGGGGTCTTTTAAAGTGGACCGGATGATAAGTTATGCCTTTGGTATGTCACAGGGGTCTTTAGCAGCCTGGGACCTTGGTCACAGCCAAAATGGGTCATTAGGACAAGGGCCGGTCACTTGTCCTGGCTGGTTCCCTGTGCACCCCCTCCCCTCTCCCCAGGAGCGGTTTCAAGTCAAGAACCCCCCCGCGGCCTACATCCAGAAGCTGAAGAGCTACCTGGAAACTGGTGGGGTCAGCCGAAAGGTAGCAGCGGATTGGATGTCCAACCTGGGGGTACACATCTCCCCCTTTCTCTCCGTCCCTTGCCCCTGCCCCTTCCAAGCTCTGGGCAGCCAGAGTAACTGTGTGTAAACTTTCCTGTGGTTGTGTGGGTGCACGTGAGTGTGACTGTGTGTTCACAGGGGCCTGAGAGTGCCCTGGGCAGACACTCGCACAGGTTCCTCTGCATAGCCTGTGTGTGCTTACACGGGCACGTGTGTGTGTACTCGTGTAGGTGTTTTGCCCTGTGCATCTGTGCACGGTGTGCTCTCTTGTCCACCTAGGGATGTGCGTGCGCCCTTGAGTCCATGTACAGTGTGTGTGTGCACCCGTGCACTTCCGAATGGACCTGTGGGCACCTTTGCTCTGTGTGCCCAGGGCGTTTGTTGTCTGGAGGCATGTGAGTGTGCACCGGGGTGTTTGTGTTTGAATGTGTGTGTGTGCCCTTGTCCCTGAGTACAGCTGTATGTGTGCTGCGTGTCTGTGTGTACCCTGCGTGTGCACGGGGGACTAGGGGTAGCCCAGGAATGCTGACTCTGTCGGGCAGGTGTGTGGAGGCGGTGGGCGGGGAAAGGCCAGGTGTGGGGGGAGGGCTGGCTGCTGCCTCGGGGCTTGGTGGGCCTGTGCGAGGCCGGGCTCCACCCACCAGACTCCCCTGTTCTTGGCCTCCAGTTTAAGAGGCGAGTTCAGGAGTCCACTCAGGTGCTGCGGGAGCTGGAGATCTCCCTGAGGACAAACCACATTGGGTGAGCCAGGGCTCAGAGTTCCCTCTGGAGGGCCCGGGAGAGCTCTTGCTCCAGGCGGTCCCTGGGGCTTCCCTTGCTGATCCCCTGCCCTGCACTGGCCATGCCTGTGGGCCACCTCTGGGGGAGGGTGTCCAAGACAGCTGCTCTGCCTCCTCTCCTACCCACCCTGGGAGGCGCTGGCTGGACTGTGCATCTTGCCTGAGCCTCTAGCAACCTCAGGCATCACTGGGTCTATGATGGGGGCTGCTTGGGGTCTTCCCCGGGGCATGGGGGAGTACACCTAGGGCCCGAGCCTGCTCTGGGTACCCACTCTGGGCAGGACCTCCATCCTGGCTGGAACTCAGGGAGCCCTCGCCCCACAGGTGGGTGCAGGAGTTTCTCAATGAGGAGAACCGTGGCCTGGACGTGCTCCTGGAGTACCTGGCCTTTGCCCAGTGCTCTGTCACGTAAGTGCCCCGCCCTGGCCCTCCTGCTGCTCCTTGGAGTCTTGGTCTATCCCTGTACCTTGCCATTCCTCTGGTCACTTCTACACAGTGCAGCCAAAGCCTACCCTGGAACCTGCACTTGGCCTTGAACGATGCCTCTTCTTGAAGGCCTGCGTGAATAGGGAGGGATGTATCTTGGGGTAGCCAGCTGGGACATGGTGTCTTACCCTTCTGTTCCCATTCCTTCTCCCCCTACTATGCCCAGCATGAACACAGCCTCCTCTTCCGGCCCCCTAGTCTCTCCTGCAGAACTGTCCCTCCCCTCAGTCCCCCCACTCCTCTCTTCAGTGCCCCCACAGTGCTGGCCTCCAACCCCTCTCCCACCCCCAGGTACGACATGGAGAGCACAGACAATGGCACCCCCAGCTCAGAGAAGAGCAAGCCCCTGGAGCAGTCCGTGGAAGATCTCAGCAAGGGCTCCCCACCATCCTTGGCGTCACAGCCCAAGAGTCGCCACCTGACCATCAAGTATGTGGGCCCCATGGTGCGGTGATGGGGAGAATGGAGAAATCACCCCCAGACTGCTGCACCCAGCCAGCTTCCCTCTGGGCCACTGGGGATGGGGGAGGGATGGCCTGGCATTGGGGATCAGAGTAAGGGCCTCAGACAGAGCTTGGGACATGGGTGTATTAATAAGTGTTCAGGGGTGGGCATGTAGAGGCTGGAATCTGGGTGGGTCTGAAATAAGGAAGGGGTTTCTGGGTCAGTGGGACCCCTCTCGTACCCATCTAATCCCAATTTTCTTCCATGCGGCCTCCAGGTGCCCCCCTTCTCCCCGGTACGTAGCTGCCTGGGGGCAGGTGCATGTCTGGTGGACTCCCGGGTGGCGGGGTGGGGTGAGGCCTTCGACCGATGCCCCTGGGTTTAGCTGCTGGGGACAGGTCATCCCACCCTAACTTGGGGCCTCCTGTGGGAGGTGGGGAGAGGGAAGGAGATGGCCCTGGAGCCTCACGCTCAGCTTCCTCTCTTCCTACTTTGGGTCTGGGGGACTAACTTCCTATTAAGACCCAAATGCTCACAACATGTTTCTTCATTCATTCATGCCTTCACTGAGTGAACGTTTTTTAACATTTAATGTATCAGTCGTGGTGGCAGGCGCTCGGGAGACTGATTACCCTGCCCTTGGGACTCCCTGGTCTAGTAGGGGACAGTGTGTGACAGGATGTCATGGAGGTGTGACCGGGAGCTCTGAGGAGAGAGGCGGCCACTGCCCGGGGCATCAGGACGGTTTCCCGGAAGAGATGGCAGGGGAACCACGTCTTATGATGAGGGCTTTACAGTCAGTGATGGGGACGGGGAAGGGCGCTCCAGGCAGAGCATGAGCAAAGACTCAGAGGCACAGCTGAGCAACCGTGAGAAAAGGGTGATATGGCAGACAGAGGGGTGTCACGGTGCTGGGTATGTGACAGACAGCCGTCAGGGGGACCTGACGTGGCCATTGGCAAGTCCTGCAACAGTGAAAAAACCATTTTTTCCATTTTTTTAATTTTTAAAAAAGATTTTACTTATTTACTTTTAAAGGAGAAGAGAGGGAGAAAGAGAGGGAAAGAAACATCAATGTGTGGTTGCCTCTAGTCTGCCCCTACTAGGGACCTGGCCTGTGCCCTGACTGCGAATTGAACCAGCAACCCCTTGCTTCCCAGGCCAGCACTCAATCCACTGAGCCACACTAGCCAGGGCAAAATTATGACTTTTAGGAAGGAGTTATCAAACACACATAGAGCACCCACTCTGAGCCAGGCACTGCTCCGAGCACATATCACAGTCCCAACGACTTTATCAGGGAGGTGCTGTTATTATCATTACTGTTTTAAAAGCGAGGAAACTGAGGCACAGGGGGATTCAGCAACTTGGCCAGTGAGTGGAGAGCTGGGGTTTGAAGCAAGACGGTCAGAACTCAGAGTCCCACTCCCAAGATGGAAGATAAGCCCTTGGGGCCGGCAGCGGAAGCGCCACCTTGTGGAGGGCGTTTCCGCGGCGGTTACAAGCATTGGCTGTCTGTTCTTACTGGCTAAAGGCCATGCTGCTGTTAAGGGCCTTTGCTTTCCCGATCCCCTGCTCACAGCCTCCCCTGCATGCCAGCCCCAGGCCTCAGGACTGAGGACGCCTTCCTGCCCTGGGCCAGCCTCTTTGGCTGGGTAGATGTGCCCGCCTCTTGTCCCAGAGGCCATCTGAGTGGTGGGAGGACTGGGAAGCTGGGTTTGGGGCCCTGACCCCTGCCGCCTTCTCCGCACCCCACCCAGGTTGACCCCGGCCCACAGCAGGAAGACCCTGCGGAACTCCCGCATCGTCAGCCAGAAGGATGACGTCCACGTGTGCATCATGTGCTTGCGAGCCATCATGAACTACCAGGTCGGTCGGCCAGGCCGGTCCTCACGGGGGAGCCGCCCACGGCGCTGAGGTCCCAGGACTGCCTGTGCCCCGACCCTGTCCCTCACTGGAGAGCCTGGGCATCTGGGCTGTTGACCCAGGGTCTTGAGGCTGACAGTCTCAGGGGGAAGTCCAGATTTCTGACCCTTCCTGGTCAGGTTCCCTAGAGCACCCCAGGCATGACTGGGAGTCTGGGTGTGTGTGCCTCTCGAGGGGACCTAAGCGTACCCACCAAGAAAGGCCCGCCACCAGGCCCAGGGCTGAAATGACGGTCCCGGGTCATTTCATCTGGAGCAGTGGTTAGGGAAGCCGGGCCTCCCTCCCTCAGCCAGCCTTTGAGGACTCACCGTGCAGGGGCTGAGTCCTGGCACTGACTTTTGAACAGACAAAAGTATTTAAAAAGAGGGACCAGGCTTTGGCCACCACAGAAGAGCTTGTGGCTGGATATAAAGAACTCCCTAATTTTGAGGGCAGTCAGAGACCAGAATGGCATGGCACTGGCAGTCCCAGCAGGTCTGGGCAGCAGGGTGCCGGCAGTCCTGGGGCCCTGCCTGGAGCTGCTGACCTCTCCCCTGTCCCCAGTCTGGCTTCAGCCTCGTCATGACCCACCCAGCCTGTGTCAATGAGATCGCTCTGAGTCTCAACAACAAGAACCCCAGGTGAGGTCCGGGCCCTAACCTTCATATCCAGATTCTCCTGCTACTTAACCCTTGGCCTCCCCTGCCCCCCACCCCTCCGCCCCCCATTCTCAGGACCACTGCTCCCGCTTATTCCACCCCATCAGCTTCCCTGTTTGATGGTGCTGCAGGGACAGACCCTTGCTGTGGGGGCTGCTGCTCTCGAGGGACAACCTGCCCTTCTCTCCCCAGAACCAAGGCCCTGGTGCTGGAGCTGCTGGCGGCCGTGTGCCTGGTGCGGGGAGGGCACGACATCATTCTCGCGGCCTTTGACCACTTCAAGGAGGTACTGGGGGCCCCACCCACAGGTGTCTTTGTCCTCCAGAGTTGCTCAGAGCCCCGAGGCTGGCAGCTGTGGCCTCTGTTGGGGGTGTTGGGTGGACATTTGGGGAACACAGGGTGGGACCATCTGGGGTGGGGGAGCTCTGGAGAGAAGGCGCAGAATCACATGGGGGCACTGCCTGGGGCGACAGGGGCAGTTACGGACATCCGCTGACCCTCAGCCTTTTCGGATCTGAGCTAAACTTGACCTATACACCTCACAAGAAGTCAATGCTTTCGAGTGTGACGCAGGAGGCAGCAAGCACACAGCCTTCCTTCCTTTAATGAGCATTTATCGAGCACCTCCTGTGTGTCAGCACAGACTGGCCACTGGACATACACCGGTGACCAGTGAGCAAAAGAAATTAGGCGGGGGGCCCCGGCCAGTGTGGCTCAGTTGGTTGGGAGTTGTCCTGCAAACTGAAAGGTCGCCGGTTCGATTCCAGGTTGGGGCCCCAGCCTGGGCTGTGGTTGGCTCACGTGTGGAAGGCAACCAGTATGCACTGTCTCCCTCTCACACACGTTGATGTTTCTCTCCTTCTCTTTCTTCCTCCCTTTCCCTCTCTAAAATCAAACATTAAAATTAAGTTATAAAAAATTTTAAAAAGAAGAAATAAGGCAGGGGAAGACAGATAAACGACGACAGAATAAATGAGCCAACTGCATGTTGGAAAGTGATGGCTGCCATGCGGAGAGTCAGGGCTGCTGTCGGGGAGGGGAGCTGGTGGCAGGTGGGCACAGAGCCTCTGCGAGATCTGAGCAAGGCTGTGAAGGAAGTGAGGGACTTGGCGTGGCGGCCATCACCCGAGGGGGGAATGTGCCACAGTGCCAGTGTGGCCGAGGGGAGTGAGGCAAGGGGAGGGCGGGGAGAGATGGAGAGAGAGTGGAGGTTCTGAGCAGAAGAGGGATGAGGCCTTAGATTTAACCTGAGAGGAGCCTTTAGAGGCTCGAGGGTGGCAGCTGGAAGGTGGCCTAGGAGGTGTGCCCCTGGGCGCCCGCGACAGCCATTCTCCCACCCAGGTGTGTGGGGAGCAGCACCGCTTTGAAAAGCTGATGGAGTACTTCCGGAACGAAGACAGCAACATCGACTTCATGGTGAGCTCAGGGGCCTGGCCTGGGCTTGAGTATCTACCCTGCAAAGTGTGAGGGCTGAGGGCTGCTGGGGGAGGGGTGGATGTGATGTCAGAGATGGGGAGGCTGGAGGGGGGTGGCGTGGGGAGAAATGCGTAGGGACCACGCTGGGTTAGTGGAGTGAGCCGTGCACAGAGGGAGGGGACTTGGGAGGTAAGTGGAAGGCAGAAGGCACTGAGGACTCCCCCACCCAGAGGATCATAGACCTGCTCATGTCTCCCACCCCCCCAGGTAGCCTGCATGCAATTCATCAACATTGTGGTACACTCAGTGGAGAACATGAACTTCCGTGTCTTCCTACAATATGAGTTTACCCACCTGGGCCTGGACTTGTACTTGGAGGTGAGCCCTGCACCCTTCCTCAGACTGAACCATCTGCCCATTGCAGAGTTTTGCTCAGTGGTTGGCAGCATGGGTGTTGGGGTCAGGCAGACCTGGGTTCAAATCCGGGCTCTGCCACTTCCTAGCTCATGTGACTTTGGATAGGGCTCTTCTCTCTGAGCCTCAGTTTTCCCATCTGTAAAATAGGAGAATCTTAGAGATAATAATGATTTAGTAGGATGGCGTCTGCCACATAATAGGCACCCAGCCCATGGAGCCAGGTGCTGGAACAGACTCTAGGTGGCCCTGGCCTGGCTCCGGGAGCACGTAAAGGGGGTGCAGAGACACCGGGCAAACGTGAGAGCTGGCTCACCCTGGGTGGGTCCCGGTCATGGAGGCGTTCTTTGCCCTGGGGAAGGTGGGCAGGAGGGCTTGGTGCTTCCTGGCCTGAGCGCAGAAGCTGCTGCTTTCTTCTCTGATACCTTTGGGAGACTCCTGGAGGAGCAGAGCCTTTGGGATTGGATTTCCTTCATTTATTTACATTTTAAAAACTATCATTATTCTATTACAGTCATCTCAATTTTTCCCCTTTGCCCTCCTCTGCCCAGCCTACCTCATCTCTCAGTCAGTCCCTACACTGTTGTCCATGTCCGTGGGTCACTCATGCGTGGTTTTTGACTGGTCCCTCCCCCTCCTTTCCCCCATTATCCCCCTCCCCCTTCCCCTGTGGCTGCTGTCAGTCTGTTCCATGTTTCCAAGTCTCTGGTTCTAGTTTGCTGGTTAGTTTGTTTTGTTCATTAGATTCCTCTTGTAAGTGAGATCATACAGTGTTTGTCTTTCACTGACTGGCTTGTTTCACTTAGCATAATGCTCTCCAGTTCCAATTATGCTGTCACAAAAGGTCGGAATTCCTTCTTTCTTTTTGCTGCATAGTATTCCATTGTGTAAAGGTACCACAGTTTTGTAATCTGCACATTTACTGGTGGGCACTTAAGCTGTTTCCAGCACTTGGCTATTGTAAATAGTGCTGCTGTGAATACAGGGGTGCATAAGTTCTTTTGAATTGGTGATTTGGGATTTTTAGGATACTTTCCCCGCAGTGGAACTGCTGGGTAAGAAAGCAGTTCCATTTTTAGTTTTCTGAGGAAATTCCATACTGTGTTCCACACTGGCTGCACCAGTCTGCATTCCCACCGACAGTGCACTAGGGTTCCCTTTCCTCCACATCCTCTCCAACACTTGTTGTTTGTTGTTTTTTTAATGATGGCCATTCTGACAGGTGTGAGGTACCTCATTGTAGTTTTAATGTGCATCTCTCTGATGGCTAGTGATGCTGAGCATCTTTTCATATGTCTACAGGTCCTCTGTATGTTCTCCTTGGAGAAGTGTCTATTTGGGTCCTTTGCCCATTTTTTAATTGGCTTGTTTGTCTACCTGGTATTGAGTTGTACGAGTTCTTCATATATTTTGGAAATCAAACCATTGTCCAATGTGTTATTGGCAAAAATGTTCTCCCATACAGCTGGTCCCCTGGGACCGGATTTGTTAAAGCCAGGATTAACAGCAGGCTAGGGCACCATATCTACACAGTGGAGCATTGTTCAGCCATAAAAAGGAATGAAGTACTGAAACATTCTGCAACATAGAGGAGCCTTGAAAGCTTTATGATAAGTGAAAGAAGCCAGACACAAAACACCCCATAGTGTATGGCTCTTTTATGTACAATGTCCAGAGTAGGTAAGTCCACAGAGACAGCGGATCAGCGGTTGCCACGTGTGGGGGAGGAGGGAATGGGGGGGTGACTGCTGATGCGGACAGGGCTTCTTTGTGGGGTGATGGAAATATTCTGGAATTAGATAGTGATGGTTGTGCAACCTTGTGAATATTCTAAAAACTACTGAATTGTACAGTTTAAAGTAGTGAATTTTGGTCTATGACATCCTATCTCAATAAAAAATAAGGGAGGGGAAAAAAAAACTGGCGAGGGCTCAGGCCCCTTCCTGTGGCTCTGGCGGGTGTTGGAGAGGCCCTCACACCACGCCTCACCCACCCTTCCATCTGGGAGACAGAGGCTGCGGCTCACGGAGAGCGACAAGCTGCAAGTGCAGATCCAGGCCTACCTGGACAATGTCTTCGACGTGGGCGTGCTGCTGGAGGACACGGAGACCAAGAACGCTGTGCTGGAGCACATGGAGGAGCTGCAGGAGCAGGTGACCCTGGTGAGAGCTGCTCCTGGACTCGGCCCAGAGCACAGTAGGCCCACGGGCCCCGCACCAGCATGCCCACTGACTCCTGAGCGTGACCTTGAATATAAATCCTAAACCCTCTCGGTGTCTTTCTCAGTGAGTGTGCATGGAGCCCCTGCCCTGTGCTGAACCTCTGAGGAAGGCAGGCCCCCTCCTCTCCCAGGGTGCTTGGACCCGGGCCCTGACTTGGGTGGAACCTCAAGCCTGAGGCCCCTCCCAGCTCAGTTTCCTCTTCACCTCCCTCCCCCCATCAGTGGTACCTTGGATTCCCCTCCTGAGAGAGCTTTACTGTCCTCAGTGCCTTACCCATTTGGGCTCAAGTGCCAAGCTCAGCCCACCCGCCCCTGGGCTCTGCACGTCAGGAAGCCTCCCCCAGCCCTCCAGACGTGTCTGATGCCTCCCCCTCACGGGTGGTGACAGTGCCCGGCAACGGGTGGGAACTCACCATGTGTCGGGTGCCACAGCTGACAGAGCGGCTTCGGGACGCGGAGAACGAATCCATGGCCAAGATCGCCGAGCTGGAAAAGCAGCTAAGCCAGGCCCGAAAGGAGCTGGAGACCCTGCGGGTGAGGCTGGGGGCAAGGGCGACGTGGGCTCCCAAGAGCAGACCAGCTGGGGCTTCTAGGCTTGACACCTCCCTCCACTTTGGCAAGAGGATGGGGCTCAGTGCCAGGCCTGTGGGCGGGCACTGACCCCCCCCCCCCACCGGCTTGCAGGAGCGCTACAGCGAATCCAATGGCATGGGCGTCTCCAGGCGTCCGCCTGAGCCTGAGAAAGTGCCTGGCACTGCCCCTGTGAGGCCCTCCGCCCTAGAGCTGAAGGTGGAGGAGCTGGAGGAGAAGGGGTTAATCCGTATCCTGCGGGGGCCCGGGGATGCAGTCTCCATCGAGATCCTCCCAGTCACCGTGGCAACTCCAAGCGGCAGTGACGCCCCAACTCTGGGAGTGCCCACCGGTTCCCCCAGCCCAGGTGAGCAGGAGTGCCCAGCTGGGTGGGGTAGGGTGGGGGAACCAGGGCCTAGAGAGGGAGCCTAAGACCATCAAGACTTGGGAAAAATAGGTTTGGGTTGTGGGCGCTGCTCAGGTAGGTGCGGATGGGTAGGAAACGGACCGGTGCGCATGCGTGTGGTGGGGAGGAGGAGACGAGACCACCCAAGGCAAGAAGTTGACACTTTCCTCTCCTTCCTGTTCTCCTACTCCCGCCCACCTGCAGCAGAGACGGTTCCCGAAGCAGCAGCCCCGCCCCCACCACCCCCGCTGCCTGGACAATCCTCCCAGCAGGAAGCCGCACTCGGGGCGCCCCCATTGGCCCCGCCCCTCCCAGGCAGCTCGGAGCCCCCGCCACCTCCACCGCTGCCAGGCCTATCGCCCCCACCGCCACCGCCGCCACCACCACCGCCGCCTCCTGGCACAGATGGGCTGGTGCCTCCGCCACCCCCACCGCCTCCGGGAGGTCCCCCTGATGCTGTCGGAGGGCCCAACCCAGACATGGGTACCGGTGAGTGGACCACTCAGGGCTGGGAGTAGAAGGAGTCTGGAGCCCTGGCCTTAGTGTCCTCAGTACTCTCCCACTACCTCCTGCCGGTCCTGCCAGCCCTTGCTGGGTCCTGGCGCCCTCCATCCACCTCACCCCCTGCAGCCCCAGTACTCACCATTCCCTCCTTGTCCCAGGGGTGAAGGCCAAGAAACCGATCCAGACCAAGTTCCGAATGCCACTCTTAAACTGGGTGGCCCTGAAACCCAACCAGATCACGGGTACTGTCTTCACTGAGCTCAATGATGAGAAGGTGCTGCAGGTGCGTATGACCTGGCTTGTTGCCGTGGTGGGCACCAGAGGAGGGGCCTTGCCTGATCATGCCGGGTGCTAAGAGTGGTCGCCGAGAGTAGTCGCCTCCTCAGCCCCACTTTACAATGACGACACGGAGCCTCAGGATGGGCAGGGAGCCAAACCGGACCAGCGAGTCTGGGCGGCCATGCATCCTGGCACCTGCGGAGGCTTTCCCTTTCATCCCTGCCCAGGGGCCATCCCTGCCCAGGGGCCATCCCTCCTCCACGTCTGTCCTGTCTCTTCTCCTTCCAATTCCACTTTGTTTTTCAAAAGGTGCGTGTTCTCTGGCTGCCAAGCCATTGTTCAGGCTGTTCCCTCTGCCCGGAATGCCTTTCCTTTCCCCTGTTCATCCCTGGCCAATTTAGCTCTTCCTTCAGCTATAACTGCTTGGACTCTGCTCCTCCTGCTCCTCAATGCTCCCCGCACTTCCCCTGTACCCCCATCAGGGCCTGCAGTCAGGCTGAGTTACTGGTTTGTTTCTCTGCCAGCGGCCAGGCCAGGGCAGGGTTGGTGGCTCTAGTACTGAGCATGGTGATCAGCCAGGAATATACTAGACCCCAGCCCACCCAGCCCTACTTTCTGTCCCTGCACCCTCAGGAGCTGGACATGAGTGACTTTGAGGAGCAATTCAAGACTAAATCCCAAGGTCCCAGCCTGGACCTGGGCGCTCTCAAGAGTAAAGCAGCCCAGAAGGCCCCCAGCAAGGCCACACTCATTGAGGCCAACCGGGCCAAGAACCTGGCCATCACCCTGCGCAAGGGCAACCTGGGGGCTGACCGCATCTGCCAGGCCATCGAGACGTGAGTGGCCCTGCCATGGGCTTGTGGGCACCCCAGCCCTTCTGCTAGTCCATAAAAGAGCCCCAGTTATGGGGTAGAGCTCGCCAAGCTTTATATCAACCCTGGTCAGGGACTAGGGTGGGGAACCTTATTCCCATTTTCAGGCTGAGAAACTGAGGCTGCACTGTGAGGTCATGCCCGAACAGAGATGTTCTATTCCCTCCCTTCCTCCTTGTCCAGCTGAAGGCACTTAGGCTCAGACATTTTAGCAGGACATCTGCCACTGATGTATGATGGGGGGCCCCAGGCTTCCCAGTTGCCAACTTCCCTTGACTCCTGTCTCTTGTTCCCTGAAGCTGTTGGCAAATAGCAAATCCTGAAGTTCATTTATTCAATCAAGGAAGGGGAGGGGATCTGGTGGGTGTGGAGCAATCTCTCTCCCCTCTGCCTCCAGGTACGACCTCCAGGCCCTCGGCTTGGACTTCCTGGAGCTGCTGACCCGCTTCCTGCCCACGGAGTATGAGCGCAGCCTCATTGCCCGCTTTGAGAAGGACCAGCGGCCAGTGGAGGAGCTGTCAGAGGAGGATCGCTTCATGCTGCGCTTCAGCCGCATCCCGCGCCTGCCAGAGCGCATGACCACGCTGACCTTCCTGGGCAACTTCCCGGATACTGTCCAGCTGCTCATGCCGGTGTGGGCGGGGCGGGCAGAGTGGTGTGGGCGTGGCCTGGGTTGAGGAGGGGGAGGGGCCTGACCCAAGCCTGGGCTCCAGGATGGCATTTGAGTGCACTTGAGCCTCCTACGGGCTTGCTCCTACACAGCTCCCATTCACTTTGCCTCCCTGTTGCCTCCCCTAGCAACTGAATGCCGTCATTGCAGCCTCAATGTCCATTAAGTCCTCCGACAAACTCCGCCAGATCCTGGAGGTGAGTGAGAGCCCAGGGCAAGGCTCTGGGAGGTAGGGTCCACCCTGACCCCTTGCCTGTTTTGGGACGTTAGAGGGAGACTCAGGCCCTGCCTTGCACATCTAGGATGCAAAAAATATAATGTTCCCACCTCACATACAGGCTCAGGGTGGGGACAAAAGAATAAACTGTCGGAGTTTATTCTTATATTACTTATTTAATTGAAAAGTAGGTACAGCTGTAAACCTACTTTTGCCCCACCCCGTAGACAGCATCATGCCTCAGACCCTGCCTGAGGGCTCAGCCCCTCTGGGGGTTACTGTGTAATTAGCAGAGCACCCACTCCCCTCAGTGGGGTCCAGGGAACCAGAAGAAATGGCTGTTAGAAAGGTAGTGACTCCGCAGCCTAGGAGATGTTGGCAGCACAGTTTTGGGTAGGAATAGGAGAAGATAAACTTGGGCGTGCCATGGTGTTAGCTGTGCCCATGTACCAAACATGAACACATGCATGTACCTGTGTCACAGACCCGGGGGTTCCATGGAGGACTGCAGTGAGGGTTGAGTTTGGGGCTCGCCCTTTGCCACCTTTTCTTGTGCAATTTGTGCTTCAGGGTGTTTCCTCAGCCCAGCACCCTGCTGAGCTCTCCCCGCCTCTCCTAGATCGTCCTGGCCTTTGGCAACTACATGAACAGCAGCAAGCGCGGGGCGGCCTATGGCTTCCGGCTCCAGAGTCTGGATGCGGTGAGGGGCGAGAGATGGGGTTCCTTGGCTTGGGCGATGGGGGAGGAGGGCTGGTGGCCTGTGGCTTATAACAGGTCCTCATGCAGCTGCTGGAGATGAAGTCGACGGACCGAAAGCAGACACTGCTGCACTACCTGGTGAAGGTCATTGCTGAGAAGTACCCACAGCTCACAGGCTTCTACAGTGAACTGCACTTCCTGGACAAAGCAGGCTCAGGTATGGGCGGGCATATCCCCTGCCCACTCTCATCCTTGGGAGGGGCTCAGCCCTGGGGATTGATATGGGTTGGGAGAAAGCAAGGGGCCCACAGGTTGTAAATGGATGGGAATGCTGCCTCTCTGATCCCCCACCTCTCTACTGCCCCACCCCCCAGTGTCCCTGGACAGTGTCCTAGGTGATGTACGTGCCCTGCAGCGAGGCATGGAATTGACCCAGCGGGAGTTTGTGCGGAAGGATGACTGCTTGGTGCTCAAGGAGTTCCTGAGGGCCAACTCACCTACCATGGACAAGCTGCTGGCGGACAGCAAGACAGCTCAGGTGGGCGGGGACGGCCAGGCCCTGGAGGTGGGGAGGCTGGGGGTGTGCTATGAAAGGCTACCTAGGTGGGGTTGAGTAACCAAGGCTTGGAGTGGTGTGGCCTCAGCTGGGACACTTTGGGGGGTGGAGCAGGAATGAGAGGCCATCTGCCAGGAGAAGCAGAGATGGAATGGCTGGTGTGTTCATGTGTGTGTGGGGGGTGGTCAGGTGTCAAGGGGTCCATACTGATGGGGTTGATGGGCTGTGTCTGCAGGAGGCCTACGAGTCTGTGGTGGAGTACTTCGGGGAAAACCCCAAGACCACGTCCCCGTCCATGTTCTTTTCCCTCTTTAGCCGCTTCGTCAAGGCCTACAAGGTATGTGTTTCTGGGAGGCAGGCTGGCACCACTGCAGGGCCGGGCAGCCTGTCCGTGGGGGCGGAGGGAGGGGTAAGTGCGGGAGACCTCGTCTCACAGAGACCTGCCTTGGCCCCTCAGAAAGCTGAGCAGGAGGTGGAACAGTGGAAGAAAGAAGCTGCTGCTCAGGAGGCAGGCACTGAGACCCCGGGCAAAGGGGAGCCCCCAGCAACCAAGGTAGGGAGCTGCCCGAGCTTGGTCCTGGGATGCAGGGGTGCTTGGCTTCCTCACCCTAAAGGTCTGGCACTCTTTCGCTCCCTCGTTTTCACTGGCAGACCCTGCCCAAGGCGAGTAGCCTGGGATGGGAATGGGTTCCTTCTGCTCAAGCCAGCAGCGGGGCCTGGCTCTGGGGGACCAGATAGGGTTTGGCAGTGTGGTCGGGAGGGGATGCCGAAACTGCAGCCAGGTACCCTTCCCACCCCCCAGTCCCCACCCAAGGTCCGGCGGCAACAGATGGACCTCATCTCTGAGCTGAAACGGAAGCAGCAGAAGGAGCCCCTCATCTATGAGAGTGACCGTGATGGGGCCATTGAAGACATCATCACAGGTGAGGGCTTGGCCGCGACTGGCACCTACGTGGTCTGTCCTCCAGTGCTTCCTCCATACACCTCCCCACCCTGGGGGTCTGGCTGCCTCACTGCCTCTTTGCTACTTTTTCTGTCTTTTTCCTTTCCCCCTCCTCCCTCCTAACCCTCCTCAGTGCTCAAGACAGTGCCCTTCACGGCCCGCACGGGCAAGCGGACATCCAGGCTCCTCTGTGAGGCCAGCCTGGGAGAGGAGCTCCCCCTCTAGTTCTCAGGTACCTGGGTGGCCTCGTCTCTGGGTCCAGTGGCTTAGCCCCGAGGGCCCTTGGGGGGCTGAGGCCTGATGCCGCCCCCTGGTGTGGCCATGCATGCTGGGCTGTGTTTGAGGGGGTCTGGTCAACATAAACGGGTGCCCTCCTCAATGCACACAACCTAGAAGGGTAAGGCCTGTGCCCCCGAGTGGTGGTCCCAACCTCGGGCAGACTCCTTCCCAAAGGGTGAATGCTCTGTCTCCTCTCTGCCAGATCTTCGGAATCAGCCCTACATCCGCGCAGACACAGGCCGCCGCAGCGCTCGCCGGCGACCCCCTGGACCCCCAGTGCAGGTCACCTCGGACCTTTCTCTGTAGCTGCTATTTCTGCGGATGGACTTTGGGGGGTGGGGGAGGGGGCTAGCCTGGGCACACGGAAGGGGGTCCTCAGCTCGGCTGGGCCGGGCAACCCCTCTGCCAATGTCCCCTGCTGTGAGCCCACCTCAAAAGGGCCTGCAAACCCTCATCTTGCTACAGGGGACAGGATCACTGGCCCTTCCCCCCAAACGCTGCTTGCAGCACCCCTCTCCCCCGAATAGCCATACTGTACTTAGCCTCAGCGGGAGACTGGCCCGTAACTTATAAAGTGCAACTCACCCCTACCCGGCCTCCGGGGACTCTCCATGGAACTTATTTTTATACAAGATTAATAAAGATGTTTGCAAAAGATCTGCATCCGCTCTGTGCCTCCCGCTACATTCCAGCCTGTTTCATTCAGCAAATGCTTTACTTCTACAAGTTCTTCATAGCAGGTATCTGCAAACAGGCTGGCGAAGGGGAATGGGGCTGCTTTTGCACTAGAGTTGGTGGGGAGGGAGCCAGCTTCCAGCGGCGCGTATCCTCTACTGGCTGGTCCGAGAACCCTGCGGGGGCTGGAAGGTCCAGCCAGTTATTTGGGTTGGATACACTGGGTTAGCTCTCCCTCAGCCCGCCTTAGTGTCTACCGCATCCTATTTCTACCCGTCTGCTTCCTACCGCCCCTTATTTGCATGCCCCGCCCCTGCCCGCTAGCCCCGCCCCTCAACCCTGCAAACAAGTGCTAGCCCGAAGTCCAGCTATCCCCTCCCCCTCCCCTCCCCCATGCTTTCACCTGGGTTGCGCTGCTGCCTCTGGTTAGTCCTGGGCCAGGGGTGTCTAGAGGTGTAGGACTTGGGAAATCGGACTTCGGAGCTCGGAGCCAACTTAGGTATCTGAGAGTAGGGGCTGCAGGAACCTGGGGAAGCCAGTAAGAGAGAAAGGAGGGGCCAGTCCTAAGAATGGGGCCTGAGCGAGAGTCCCCACTCCCGCGGGTGCTCCCAGCCCCACCCAGGAGTTCACCTGCTTTGCGCAGTCCGTGCAGCAGGCTCGCCAGCTGGGCGTGAGAAAGGCCACTGATCCGTGCGGCCTGGCAATAGAAGTTGAGGCCACGGTGACTGTGCTCTGTGCAGCCTTGGCCCTGTGACCTGCCCCTGCAGCCTGGGGTCAGGGGCAGAGCCCGCTGCTTCTTGGAGTAATAGCTAGAAGGAGAAAAGTGGAGCAGCTGCCTCAGACACCACCTCCACCCCCGCCCCCCATTCCCCCGCATCCCCATCTCACAGGAACCAAAGCAGGGCAGGGTGTCACTTGTGTCTGGCCTGGGGTTCGTTGGTGCCCAGGACCCTGACCCAGAATTCAGGGCTCCCCTCTCTGGGGCAGGAACATCAGGGAACCCCTGCATGGGGCAGAGGCTGCTTCCCAAGATCCTGGGCCCTGAAACTGGATACATTTGTGCCCACCTCATCACCTCCCGCACTGACTTGTGGGGCACAAAGCCCTGTCTCATCAGCTTGAACAGCGTCTCTAAGAAGAGGGTCTGCAGGCCTTGGGTGTCCCAGACTTGGCTGTCTTTCACTTGGCCTGGTGTCCAAGAACACGGGGAGGGTAAGGAGAAACCTCCCTGGAGCCAGGCCCGTCCTGCCCCACCAGCCCCACCATTCACCCAAGTGCTGAGGGTGGCAGTGGCTATTGGTGAAGACACCCAGGAAGTCTTCGAAGCCTACAGTTCCATCACCTGGGAAGAGAGAGGAGGGGGTACTGTGGGTGCCTGCCCCTGCCGCGGGCCTGCCCTGTATAAGCATTAGGGACTGGCTGGAAGTTCCAGCCATTAGCGAAGCCAAGTGTCAACCCTGGCAGAAAAAGGAGAGGCCACAGTGACCTCAGAGGAATAGCCTTGGCTGGAGGGAAGTCCTAAATCTGAATGAGGATAACACTGCAGAAGTGTCTAGAGGATAGGCATGTTGGTCAGGGCAGGCTTCCTGGAAGAGGAGACTTTAAAATAGGACCAGGCTAGGGATTCTGTGGGCAAGGCTAGGGGTTCTTGAGGGCTAGAGGTGGGAGAGAAAGAGAGGGCAGAGAATGGGGTACCCACCGTCCAAGTCTGCCTGCTGCAGGGCCTCACGCATCTCCCATGGGCTCAGCTGAATACCTGCAGCACCCAGGGCAGCTCTCAGGCTCTGCATGCCCACAGTGCCGGTCCGACTGGAGCTGAACAGTTCAAAGATGTCCTGGAACGCTGCAGGCAGGAAGAGGGGCAGGCAGCAAGGTGAACCACACACCTGAGAACCCCGAGTTCTGTCCCCCCAGTTCAGAGTGGACTGAGGACTTGGGTCATTCCAACCCCCTGGGCATTATCACTTCTAAAACAAAGAACTGCCGTGGCTGCTGTGTTGACAGTGTAGTGCCCATTCAATTCTCTTGCCCAAAACTCATGTTTGGACATGTTTGTATGAAAATCATTCAAAGGGGACTTCCAGCCAAGATGGAGGTATAGGTGGAAATACTGTTTCCTAGCATGACTCCTAGCACAACCAAATTTAAGGACAACAAAGATTTATAAACAAAAACACAACCAGAACAAACAGAAAATTGAACTGTACTGAAGTCTCCGACAACAACGAACCATTCATCCAGACCGGTAAGAGGGGCAGAGTTGGTGGCCAGTGGAGAGGGGTCCAGGCAGGAGGCGGTAGTTAGCAGAACCGGGTGCAGGGAGGAAGCGAGCAAACCCAGTGAGATGCTCAAGGCAGTTGGCTGACCGTGGACACACATTCATGTGCAGATAAACCAGGTGAAAACGGGCAGTGAGAGAGACCTCGTAACCCAGGGCCCCAGCAACAGGAAATAAAGCCTAAAAGGACTGATTGGAAAAACTTTCAGGGGTTGAGGTGCTGGAAGAGGCTCCCAGTCTCACAGGAGAGTTCGTTGGAGAGACCCACAGGGTCCTAAAACATACACAAGCCCAACCACCTGGGAACCAGCACCAGAAGGGCCCGATTAGCTTGTGGGAAGCGGCAGAAGGGACTGAAATCCAAGAGAGAGAACGGGCGCCATTGCTCCCTCTCTGACCCCGCCCCCACATGCAGCGTCATAACCCAGCGACTGGGTGGCCCCGCCCTAGTGAACACCTAAGGCTCTGCCCCTCATACAAAACAGCTGTGAACAGACCAAAACATTATGGCTCAAACAGAACAGATCAAAGCCCCAGAGCCAATACTTCTAAGTGACCAAGAGATAGCCAACCTATCCGATGCACAGTTCAAGACACTGATGATCAGGATGCTCACAGAACTGGTTGATTTTGGTCACAAATTAGATGAAAAAATAAAGGCTACACTAAATGAAATGAAGGGAAATGCACTGGGAACCAATAATGATGGGAAGAATACTAGGACTCAAATCAGTGGAGTGGATCAGAAGGAAGAAAGAAACGACCAAACAGAAAAGGATGAAGAAACAAGAATTCAAAAAAATGAGGAGAGGCTTAGGAACCTCCAGAACATTCAACTTTAAACTTTCAACATCGAATTATAGGGGTGCCAGAAGAGGAAGAGGAAGAGCAACAAGTGGAAAACTTATTTGAACAAATAATGAAGGAGACCTTCCCCAATCTGGCAAAGGAAATAGACTTCCAGGAAGTCCAGGAAGCTCAGAGAGTCCCAAAGAAGTTCAACCCATGAAGAAACACACCAAGGCACATCATAATTACATTAGCCAAGATTAAAATGAAGGAGAGAATCCTAGAAGAAGCAAGAGATAAGGGGGGAGTCCCCTCCCCTACAGTCACCTACAAAGGAGTCCCCATCAGACTGTCAGCTGATTTCTCAAAAGAGACCTTACAGGCAAGAAGGGGCTGCAAAGAAGCATTCCAAGACATGAAATCCAAAGACCTACATCCAAGATTGCTCTATCCAGCAAAGCTCTCATTTAGAATGGAAGGGCAGATAAAGTGCTTCTCAGATAAGGTCAAGTTAAAGGAGTTCATCATCACCAAGCCCTTATTTTATGAAATGTCAAAGGGACTTATCTAAGAGGAAGGAGTCAAAAAATGTGAAAGCGCAGCAAACTCACAGTTATTAACAATCACACCTAAAACAAAAGCAAACTAAGCAGACCGCTAGATCAGGAGCGGAGCCACAGAAATGAAGATCACATGGAGGGTTAGCAACAGGTGAGTGGGAGGAGGAGAAGGGGGGAGAAGGTACAGAGAATAAGTAGCATAGACGGTGGGGAAAAAATAGGGGCAGGGCAAGAGTAGTGTGGGAAATTAGAAGCTAAAGAACTTATGACACATGGACATGAACTAAAAGGGGAGAATGCAGGGGGAGGGGTGTGCAGGGTGGAGGGGAATTAAAGGGGGGAAATGGGACAACTGTAATGGCATAATCAATAAAATATATTTAAAAAAAGAAAATCATTAAAAACTCATGTCCAAGGTCACACCACCAGCAGGGGCCATGCTGAACTCGGCTTCAGAGGTCTGAGCCTGACTGTGGTGCAAAAATACTTTGAGGCTGCAGGAGCTGTGATGGCACTGGCATGTAGCAGGCATAGAAAATTACTATTTAAAATTTTATTTATTTAGAGGGAAGGGAGGGAGAAAGAGAGGGAGAGAAACATGGATGTGTGAGGGATACATCGATTGGCTGCCTCTCACACTCCCCCAACTGGGAACCTGGTCCACAACCCGGCATGTGTCCTGACTGAGAATCAAACTGGCGACCTTTCATTTCACAGGTTGGTGCTCAGTCCACTGAGCCATGCCAGCCAGGGGACAGAAAATTATTGATGAATAAAATGATTCTGCTTTGCGGGACCTCTACCAATATCAGGGCATGATCTCTGGGGGGCGCTGGGGTCCCCAAATGTCAAAGGGCTTCTTCTATCCCAGCTTCGACAGCCCCATGCTCAAGGGGTGTTGGGGACTTAGGTTCCTTTTTTTTCATCATTTCTCCCAATATTCCTTTTCCCTTCCTTCTTCCATCCCATTCATCCATCCATTCATCTGTCCACCGACCATCCAAACACCTTCCTGTTCACCAGTCCGTCCCTCCCTTTGTCCTTCACACCCCACCCCCCACACCAGTGAACCCTGGGGTTGTAGAGACAAGCAAATTAGACCGGCACGGAGGGAAGGTTACAACATAATCGCCGTTTTTCTCGGTGACCCCAGCCTCTGGGCAGGCAACCCCTCATAGGTCTACTCTGAGCACCCCAGATTTTTCTCCCTGCTCCCGGTCCACGGGGCCCTCACCTGACAGCTGCTGGGGTGTCAGTGGTGGCAGGTTCTTGTCTGCAAAGCTGCCTCAGAGAAAGAGGTTGGAAAGGTCTTCGCACCTGCTGTGGGGAGGTGCCAGGGCCAGGCAGGCCTTTCCCCAAACCCATCATCCCACACCCGGCCTCCAGTCCCTGTCCTCACCTCTGAGACCCAGCACGTGAGCCTGACCCTACCGGATGGGTCGGGGCCAGGTCTTTGAACTCCTTGGCCTTCCACATGGCCTGCTCGGTCCCCACGGCCATGGCAGCTGCTGGCTCTCTCTGGGTGGGCGGGGCCGTGGGCTGCTGCAGCCTCCTGTTCTGTGTCCTGCCGGCCTGCCCCTCTCCTGGGTCTCGCGTGAGCAGTTTTTGAGGCGTCTGCGGAGGCCTTGGAGGTGGGGAGAAGACACTCCCCACTAGATTGCTAAGATTCCAGGGGACCCAGGACCAAGTTTCCTCCCAGGACGCCCCACACCAGCCATGTGCACCCACAGTCTTCTATCCAGGGGGTTCAGGGGACAGTAGCTCGTAGTACTAGTGGGCCCTCCCCTAGCTCTAGTCACCTGTACATTCTCTGTGCCCACAGGGGTCTCTTGGTCTTCTGCCCTCTGCTACCTGAAAGGCAGAGCCACAGGCTCGAAGGCTGGTCCAGCGCCCCAGGCCGGGAGCGCCCAGGATGGCTTTGCGGTGGATTTTAACATCTTTTTAGCAGGGGCACCGTCTCTCCCTGCCCTCTCTGCTGGGCAACCTGCTGCTTTACTCTTTTGGGTTTCTGACTCTTAAGGCATCTGAATTTGCACCGCCATTCTGGAAGCTGAGGCAGAGGCCCGGAGGAGAAAGCAGCCGGCCCCAGGGTCCTGAAGTCAGGGCGTGGGAGGGTGGGGCCAGCCCCAGGTGGGCTGCCGCCTGTCTTTCCACAGCTGCCCTGGGAGGAAAGGCTTCCTTTCTCCCAGCTGTGCAAATCCACAAGCCACAGGAAAAGAGTAGTCCACAAAGATCGGTGTCAACGGCTGGATGGCACCTCTGGCCCAGCCCGTCCTGGACACCCGCCCTGCATGTCCTCCATTTCCCTCCTTCCAGCCTCCTGCCCCTTCTCCTGTGGCCCCCAGCCCATTCTTAACGGATCACCCCTTCCTCACTCCCCTCTCCCAGACCTTGGGTACGGCCCTCCCCAGCCCCCTCTCAAGGCAGACCAGGCTTGTGAGGTCCCTCAAGGCTGGGCTTCCACTTGACAGGGCGCCTGGGTTCCGTGTGGCCCTCGAGGCCACCGCACTGCCACTCCCTCTCCCTCCCTGACTTCTGTCCTCATACCCATGGCCAGCCCTGCACTCAGAATTCCCGTCCCTCCTTTGCTGCCATCTCCCTCCTCCCCCAGAACCCTCTCCTCATTGTCCATGTCCCCTAGATCTGGGAGGCTTGTGCACTTTGTGTGCGTGTTTAGTACGTGTCTGTGTTGGCATGTGTTTGTGTGCATGGCATGTACGGAGCATGCTCCACGTGTGGGTGTGTGATGTGAGTGCCCGTCTATACGACATTCTGGTTAGCCGATGGCGTGTGTGCATGCACACGTGTGTCTGGGTTGCCAGCACTATTACACGTGGCTCTCCCCTGCATTTCGACGAGACTCCAACGCAGGGCTGTGGAGCCCTGGAGGGCCATTCCTCTGGCTTCATTCCTTCCCTGCCTCCAGCCCCCGGACCCTGTCCCTTCCCCTGCCAAGCCTTCCCCGTGGGGAGAAGGAGAAAGAACTCCCTTCAGACTCGCCTTCTAGCCTGCCCTGCTCCGCCCCCCAATCCCTGCTCCGCCCGCTCCATCCGGACTCTCCCCAGATGATGGGAAGCCCTGTTTTATAATCTAAGAAAGTGCAGCCTCAGAGAGGGCACTGAGTCCTCCCCGAGACCGGACTTGACTGGTAATGGGCCCATTTCTGGTGTGAACCTCTAGGCAGGTGCTCAAGAAGTGGAACAAACGTGGCTGGTAGAGCCCTCCGGGGCAGGTGGGGCCAGTGGGGCTGGGGTAGCTAAAAAATGGGATGGGGGCATCCTTAAAAAATTGCAACCAGGACTCCGCGGCCAGGTGAGCTCACTGGCCCAGGAGTGTCTGCATGGAACATCTCAATCGGGGGCCAGCACTGGAGGCTTTATTGGTCTTGTCTAGTTATTTCACTGGGGAAGAGGGGGACGACAGCTTAAAATGGATTTTCAGCAATAATGGACTCCCTTTCTTGGTTCCTGGCTCCGAGCTGCAATGCAAAAGAGAGAGTGTCACTTGGGCCCCCGGGGGAAGGGTCAGAGGAGAAGGGTGAGCCCCGAGGCCACTCTTGGGAGGGCGGGAGGGCAGAAGGACCTATTCCTGTTGCACACTGATGGGCAGCTGACCCTTGCAGTGTCCACTCACCACCGGGAAGCAAGGGGTACTGGAGGGCCCTCTTCCCTCTTCTGCCCCTCGATGGAAATGTCCTGGGCCCGTGGCTGGAGCCACGAGGTTCTCAGCTGGGCAGACACTAGCGCGAGCATTTCCAGAGAAGGGGAGGCCATCCTCCGGGTGAGAAGCCTCCTAGTGGCCTAATGGCTTAGCATGGCCCTCCCCATTTTGAACCCAGATCCCTGCCCGAGCCCCGGAGCGCTCACTCTCCATGGTCCCCAGGTCGCCTCTGGCCCTGGCCTTGGCAGAGCACCTCAGTCCACTGGAACCTAGTTTCCATCAACCTTTATGAGGTCACTGAGGTTGAGAATCAGAGCCCGCCCCACCCCCCACCCAGCCCCAACCCCTTACTGCTCCCCACCCACAGGTCCTGCACAGCCTCCTCTCGCGGGAGCTGCATGCCGGCCCCACTTACTCTCTCCCTTCTGTCGGTGGAGTGGACATGACTGGGGCCTGGATGAACTTCACTTTCCCTTCAATGATAGCCTTCTGGGGCCCCAGCTTGCTCAAGTCAAAGTGAAGGGGAAATTGCTGCTTGTTTTTCTGCTTGCAAACTTTCTCTGGCTCCCTGGCTTCCAGCAGTTTCTCCGGTGGCTGCTGTAGCAACTCAGAGGGCTTTTCCTGCTCTGGCTCCTCCTTGGCACCAGAGGTGAAACTCTCCACCGAGGGCGGTGGCGCCGGAGAGGGCTCCGCGGCGTTTCCCTGGTCAGCTTTCATCATGTACTCCAAATTCGGCAGGTCCACCTTGCTGGAGGAGGCTAGGGCCAGGGAAGTTGCCAAGTTGACCACGTCCTGCAGGCTGATAGCTGGTGCGAGACTGGAGGAGGAGGGGGTGCTGGGCGGCTGCCCGGAGCCAGTGTCCCACAGCTCCGGCTGGGTGCTGGGGTTCTGGAGCGGCTCCTCGGAGCACAGGGCATCCTCGGGGACCGACTCCTGGTGCGGGTGGCTGACGGTCTCCTCTGTGCTCTTCTCATCCAGCTGCCTGCTGATCTCACTCTGCACACTCTGTTCTGAGGCCTGGACGAGCTTGTCTGCCCAGAATAGGTGCTTGGAGGTCTGCACGTGGATGGAGTGGTGGGCGGGGGCCACTGGTTCCTCCTCCATGGGACTCGGGTGGCAGACGTCCTCCCTCCCGCTCTGCGGGTGGATGCTGTCCTTCGGCAGCTCCTCCATGCAGGGCTGGACAGGCTCCACTTGGTACTGCGCTTGCTCTGGGTCTTCACTGCAGGCCTCCAAGTTGGAGGCCGGCGGGGCCTCAGGCTCGAGCATGGGCGCCGGGCACCACTCCAGCGGCGGCACAGACTCCTCCTCCAGCTCGGTGTCTGGGTCCGGGTCTGCCTTACGTGGGGGCTCCGGCTCTAGTGATTTGTCCTCCCACTGAAAAGTTTCAGCTGATGCTGAGGAGGCCCCTGCCCCTCAGGTGCTCCCTGACACGAGCTCCCTGCTCTGCTCCCCCCTACCCTGCCCCCACCCCCCACGCTCACTTCCTTCCCCACATTTGTCTCTTGGTAGAGACCTGCCTGGGGCAGGAAGGCCATGCGTGCACGTGTGTGCACGCGCCTGTGTATGTGTGTGTGAGAGCGAGCGAGCGAGCGGGAGAGAGCGAGCATGACAACATTGGCCTTGTACTAGGGTCCCAGAACTGCCAAGAGTAGGGGCTGGTCAGAATATAAGGAAGACGGGCTTGGCCTCAAAGAGCTCTGCCCCTTGCCTACCATCTCCCCAGTATGTCTCCCCGAAAGAGGTGGCCCTGCCCACCATTACCTCTGACTCATTGCCCCTTCGTTCCAGCTGGTGCTGGTGTTGGTTTATGTCAATCCTAAGAAAGAAGGAGACAGAGCAGGTAACAGGGCCCCATGGGGTTGGGGGGCTGGCTTCAGGGGGAAGGGGGCCTCTGGGGCCCACAAGGTCCCCTGCCTCATACAGGGGCTGGCAAGATGCCCCCCTCTCAGTTTATCTACTGTCCCCACTCCCATCAAGAGTTCTGGAGTTGTATTCTCAAACTGCAATGAGTTTACAAGGGCATGGAGAGCTTGCCAGGTCACTCCCCTCTCCGTGAGGAGGGGTGCAGCTGGTTGGAGGTGAGGGCCAGGAATCCTCACTTCCGTCCGGAGGGCTGTCCAGTGACTGGTTGCAGCTGACTCGGAGAACCGGTGCCCAGAAAGTGGCTCCTCACACAAGGAAAAGCCCAGAGCTCCGCCCTCCCACCAGGCCTGCTCAGCAGACAGGAAAAGGGGGGCTCTGTGTGTGTAGGGATGTACGTATGGAGGGGACGTGTGTGTCAGTTTTTGCTGGCAGAGTGCTGGTATCTCGGTCCTTGTCTTCAGTGCTCACCCATGTAACGCCCCTCCTTCCTTTGAAGCCTGCCCACCCCCAACTTGGATGGCTCTGTCCTTAGAGCAAGGTGGGTCTAAGGGGTCAGGCCCCATCCATGTCCCTGGGTGTGTCCCCCTTCTCCTTAGTCTTCCTCCAAGGTTGGTAACTGCAGGCAGAAGCTGGAGTGGGTGGCACCCCTTGTCTCCACCATGGCCTTTTGGTCTGGACACTACCCTTGGGGAGATTTTGAAAACAGGCAACACGGAGGGAGATCCTGGGTTGGGGGTACATGAAAACTTGGCAGTGGTGGAGGGGGGGGTAAGGGTTGGTGGTCCTGAAAAGTAGGGGAGAGGTCTGTCGATGGGGGACTGGTTCTCACTGTGTGTCTACAATCTCCACCGACTCCTTGGTACAGCAGGGAAATCCATTGGCACCTGGCAGAGAGAAGGAGGTGAGGGCAGGGGAGCGACAGGTGGGGATCGAGCCCTGAGGGGTTCTGGAGCCTGGGCTGGTGGTGATGCTTCAGCCACCCCGTCCCTCCCTCCCTGTCCCTCCCCTTAAACCACATGCCATTCTGTCTCCCATCTGAACCCTCGTTTCCTCGCTGTCCCCAGCCAGTGTCACCAGTCCCGTCCGTCAGGACAGGGATGAATGGGTGAATGCTAATGGTGCTCACTCCCATTTATTGAGTACTACTAACTCAGACACTGTGTTGAGTGTCTGAGTTATCTCACTGATTAAACACAAAAAAGAGCTTCGCTTGCCTGAGATCCTTCAGCTGATCATTCAGGAAGTCAGCACTTGAATGCAGATTGGATTCAGGAAGCGGAGCTGCCCTGCCCTGCATGCTGTCCTGCCCCAGAGCCTGGAACTGCGTGGGGTGCCCTGTCATGCCCTCGTGACCCTTGCTCACCTCCCTACATTCCTGCTCCTGCCCCCTTCTCCACTTTCTCTGGCCAGGCTTCAGGTCTGCCACTCACCCTGGCCCCTCCTACCCTGAAGTCCATCCTCTTCCACTGGCTTCTCACCCCCTCACCCTGGGGTCAGCCAGGGTTCTCGCCCCCAGGTGTTTGTTCTGAGGTGATCTGTGAGCCTGTATAATCCCTCCACAGTGGAGCCTGACTCCCTAGGGGGCCTCCCCACCCCAGGTCTGTCCCTGGAGTCTTGCATCTTTCTCGTTCTGGTGGTGGGAGGCACCAGGCTGTCCCATTCTCTGCTTTCCAGGGGAGTGGGTAGAGGTCAATAGTGAGGTCATCACGGCAATGAGCGAGCTGGGTCCCCAAGAGCCTGGAGTGTGGCAGGAAGTGACAGCCTTGGCTCGGGCTGAGAAGAATCGCTCCCGGGATTATATCAGGAGGATCGGAATGTACTGTGGCCTCTTTCCTGGAGATGAAGAAGCTGAGGGGGCCCTTGCGTGGCTGGTCCTGGGGCCGGGATCGGGTGCGTCCATGTTCGGCCTGAGCCTTGGGATCCTACATCAGCTGGTTGCCGCGCCAGGAGTCTGTGCGCCCCCACGGATGGGCAGCGACCTCCTCGATTACCGAGACGACCACGCTCCTCCCTTGGCTTTCTCCCCACCTGACTTCATTTCCAACTCTCCCAAGTGCTGCTCCTCCCCAGGCTTCCGACTGGTGGTAGTCTTCCTTGCTTGTTTACAGAGTTTCCCTGGCAATGGAATCAACATCTGCAGCCTTAACCCTCCCATAAACAGCCACCGGGTGTGGACAGGAGAACTAATTATGGCGTGGGCCTCCTAGCAGCATCGGGGGCTGGAAACAAAAGCCTGAGATTGATCAAACTTGGGGCTTGTGTGACATTCTGCAGTACGCAAAATGGCTTCAATTTCTGATTGCTGGTTGCTGGTCGACAGAAACGTAATGATCTTGTATCTTACAACCATCCTAAAATCCTGTTCTAGTTTTATTTATTTTTTATAGACTCCAGAAGGTTTTCTACATGAACAGTAATGTGTGGGACTCAAGACAGTCTTCCTTCTTCCTTTCCAATCTGATGTCCCTTCATTTCCTTTTCTTGCCTTATTGAACAGTCTCCAGCACAAGGTTGAATGGAGCAGAGAGTGGGCATCTCGCTTTGTTCCTGAGCTCCCAGGGCACCATCAAGCACGACGTTAACAATAGTTTTTCTTACAGGTGACTTTTATTGGGTTGATGTTTCCTTCTTAGTTTACTTAGTTTTTAATTAGGAAGGGGTGCTGGATTCTGTTTGATTTTTCTGCATTACTCAGATGATCATGTGGTTTTAATTTTGCTAACACTGCGTGTCGTCTATGTTAACAAATGAGTACTTTTACATGTTATTCTGTTAATCTTTTTGCAGTAAAATGCATTTATATTTAAAAAATATTAAATCAATCTTACGTTCCTGGAATAAACCTTACTAGGTCTTCTTATACACCGTTGAATTTGATTTGCTAACTTCTTTTTAGAATTTTCATATATATGTTCATGAGGTGTTCTAGTGTGTAATTTTCTTTTCTTTGTCAGGATTTGTGATATTAGAGTAATGAGGGTCTCATAAAATGAGGAGTATTCCCTCTTTAATTTTCTGTGTTTGTGTAAAATTGGTGTTTTTCCCCTTTGGGAGAAATCATGAGTGAAGCTTTGAACCTGTGCCTGGAGTGTCCCTGGAGAAGATTACAGATTTAACTTTCAAAAATAGATACAGGGCCATTCAGCCTACCCATTTTTTTGTTGTGGTAAATATACGTAATATAAAATTGCCCATTTAAACTATTTTTTTGTTTTATCCTCACCTGAAGACATTTTTTCATTGCTTTCAGAGAGAGAGAGAGGAAGAAGAGGGGGTTGAGAGAGAGGGGGCGGGGGGAGGAAGAGCACCCTGGTCAGAGCCCCCGCTGAGCGGGTCTCCTCTTTCTGGAATTCCCTTGTTTCCTGATGTGAAGGTGCCCAGGATTCCCCTCTTCCTGGAGCCCTTCCGGACTCCACCTCATGGCCCTGGACTAGGGGCTCCTCTCCCAGGGACCGCCCCCACCCCGGCCCCTGCAGACCTCCATCTGAGTGCATGGCCTCTTACTGACCCTCAGTTACAGGTGTGTTCCTCGCTTTGCACCTATGACCCCCTGCACAGAGTCTGGCACAAGGTGATGCTCCACAGAAGTCTGTGTGAAGAAATGAATGCCTCCCTCTCACCTCACCAAACCCTGTGGTCAAGTTCACCCTGTGTGTCCAGACTGTAGCCTGGCCAATGTGGTTCTGCATGTCTGGCCCACTTTCCTTTGCAATTTCTCACCTCTTTACAACCCCCTCTTCCTGATTCGCCCTTCATCCTGTCACCCAAATTAAAACCTGGGTCCCCTGTGACCCCACCTCACTTCCGATCTCCCTCCTCTGGTGCTGACCTTGTGCACAAGCCCTTCTGCACCCCCACAGGCTCTCCGCACCTTCCCCCTCCAAAGTCAACACAGACCCAGGCCTCACTATCTGCTGGCACTTGGTGTTGAGTGCTTTGCACACATCTGGTCCTTATGGTGATTTTCCGTGTCCTTGGGTGTCTCGAGGGACCTCCTGAACTGGGCTTCCTTTTTTTTTTTGTTCTTCAGGCCTGGCCTGCTGGACAGCTGTGGCCTGATTGCGGCTGCCAAGACCAGAGCCTTGCCCTTCCTTTTCACTGTCCTCTCTTTCTTCACCCACGTTCCTGACACTTACATTTATCGAAGCAGTTTGTCTTTGGGTGACGTCAGCTGCTCTTCCATTGCCAGTGGCTTTAACACTCCACCAAACAACTGTTTCTTGTTTATTGCCCTGGGACACTTTTGTGCAGAGTCTTTATCCAAAATTAAAATAAGTAACACCTTTCCTCTTCCTGGTGTTGTTTACCTTTCATTGTAGTAACTTTTCCAACTTTTCCAACTTGGAAAATGTCTGGGCCCAGTCACTGCTGGTCAGGGGACAGTGCAAGACAGTGCTTTTACTTGGGGCTAACACACCTCTCATTTCTTCAGGCAGAGCAGCTGGGAGGTCTTAAGAACGTGAGTGCTCTGCTCAGTTGGGGCTCAAGCCCAACTATTCCTTGGCCTCTCAGCGCCCTTGGCCTTGGCGTCGTGGGTACCCGGGAAGGGCCAGGCGCTGCAGCAGCGCCTCTTCCTGGTTCTCCTTCGGCCCAGGCGCTGGAGGTGGGCCTGGAGGCAGGCGCGTTTGCTGACCTACATTTTAACTTTGAGTCAACTCCTCTGAGCCAGGGCCTAGCCAGCACGGGAATAAGCCCTGAATGAGGTGCAGTAAATGTTGTATACATTTGTCATCCCAAAAATTTGGGAAAGGGGATCAGCTGCCCTCTGGTTGGTGGTTTTTCACACATTTTTACAAATGCTGGCCTATGTATGTCTTCCGGGGAGAGAAGGTCCTAGTTTCTGTAGGGATCTGAGCCCCAGTATTAGAAATCAGCGAGACCCAGGGCCCTGAGGGGCAAGCATCTTTGTTACTTGGTACAGAGAAGAGTGCAAAGCACAGAGGAGGTGCTCAGTAAATGTATGTCGAAGTGGATTGCTTTTTGCTTTCTGCAAAATTTCCAAGTGTCAGCCAGGAAAGACCGGACGTGATTTTAGCGGTTAAGTTTGGATAATTCATGAGTCGTTTCCTGGGCAAGAACCCTCTGTATCTGCAGCCTTAATCCCAAGGTGTGCATCCGTGCCCGTGCACACTCACGCTCGTGCACTGCGGAGGGCCGAGGCTAGGTGTGGGAGTTAGGGCAGCCGCCCGGCAGGGATGGCATCTGCTTCGCAGGTGCCTGGGGCTTGAGAAGCAGGGGCAGAGGATGGAGGCCAAATCCCTGCCCCCTCCGCGCCCCGCCCCCTCACTTTCATTTTTCCCCTTTGGTCCCCGCCCCTCGGTCCGTCCGCGCCCCTCCCCACCGCGCGCCCGCCCGCTCCCACCTGTCACCCCCATGCTGACCGAGGCGCCTCTGTCCCGGAGGTGTGGAGAGGGGTGGTGGCTGGTGCCCCTCTGCCTCCAGTTGCGCCCTTTGGTTGGGGACAGTGAGGGGCGGTGGAGACGCGGGGGCGCCTGTGTCTGTGATGTCGCCGGCTCTGTGACGTCTCTACTGCAAGTCCCGCCGGCTGGGAACAGAGCTCCGGATTTCCGGCGCTTGGGTAGCAGCAGCCTCTGGGGGGCAACCTCCGGGGACGGCGCCCCAGGAGCCCCTCTCTGGAGACCTCTGGCGGCTCTGGCTCCTCTGCAGCGGGCGCAGGGCGGTGGGGACCGCGGCGGGGCTAAGCCTTGGCTCTTCCGGGTGGTCCTTACACCTGCCCTGGGCACTGGCACAAGGCTGCTGCCCTTCCCGTGTACCCAGGACCCCTCAGAGAACCCACTGAACCTCCAGCCTTTACCCCAAGGTGTGCCTGCAGGTCCCCCCCACACACACACTTGTGTATGGCTTCCGGGGGGTATGCAGCCAGATGACACAGGTACCTGCTCCTCAGGCCTGTGTCTGGTGACCAAGGTACCCACTCTGAGAAGCCATTTCTGACCGAATGCAGGCATTCAGGAGGTGGCTGGAAGGGCTGGGAGTCCAGGCCCACTCTCGGGTTAGTCCCCTGGAAGCCTGGTCTCAGGGACCGGGCGGTGGGTGGGGCAGCGGGCCCCACTGTCCAGGCCTGGTCCGTGCCCAGGCCTTCTCTCCGTTGTGTTCTCCCTGGCAGTGTTGGGCAGGGACGTCCCTGCTGCCGCCAGGTGGGGCATCTCGCCCAACTAGTCTGAGTGGGTAGCTCAGAGGTGGGACTGGACGCACCCACTGGGAGTGATGGGAAAAGCAGCCCCAATCGAGGGTTGAAAACTGCCAGTGCCCCAACCAAGGGGCAGATCTGACAAGGTCCCACTGTGAAGGCCAAGGGAAGCAGCTGTTGGGATGGGGTCTCAGCCAGCAGGCAGACGAGTGGAGACGGCCGCGGCCCAGATTCATTGTTACCGGAACTTTATTGCTTACAGAGGTCTCTGCAGCCCAACCCAGCAGTGGCAAGGAAGGCTGCAGTTCTTCCCTTGCTGGGGGCTGGGGCCTCTCCCTGGGGAGCGGTGTGGCTCCTCAGAGACAGTTGGACAGAAGGCACATTGGCAAGTCATGGGGACAAGCTCTTCCCAAGGAGGAATCTCGCAGGCCCCTCAACCCCCAAGGATTCACAGTGGATTAATGCTACATGAGTCTCAATCACTTTCCCCCTCCCCCAAATAAAAGACTGGACTGGGGCAATGGAGAGGACTGGAGTGTGGGGGCTTCCTCTTAAAGAGATTTGGATCTTTGAAAGGGTCACATGTGTGGAGACAGGTCAAGACCTGAATCCCTACACCTTGTCTAGTCTGCCTGTGCTCACGCGGAACCACAGACCTGCCCTTCGGGAGGGCAGCCAAGAAAGTGCTTTGAGGTCATCAGAGTGCAAAGTGCAGCTGGCAGTGCCCCGTGACCAGGGGCAGGGCGGGCTCAGTGCCCAATGCCTGAATTGTGGCTTAGGAAGCTGGTATGCAAGACATGGAAGACTGTGGCTCGGGCAGAGCAGCGCCCACACCTGCTGCGCTCTCTCCCGTGCGTCTGTCCTGTCCGCAGACACCTGGGGGGGGGGGGGGAGTGTCTCAGGCCACTCGCTCCTCACTTTCACAGATGAGGGGACTGAGCGCAGCAAGTCAGGGGCATGTCCTTGGGGACTGAGAACTGTATCACTTAAACACCTGCTTGGCCCCTTGCTGTTGCTGAGTCCAGCGCAGGGCCTGTGTCGCAACGCCATGGAAAGCGTGGCGTTCGCTCCCAGGGAGATGTCCCAGGGTCAGGCGTTCCCACCCCCTCACTCTGTCGGACAGTCCTGGGTCTAAAAGGGGTGGACGGCCAGGCGAGGCCGGGAAGGGGGGTCAGAGGGCCCCACTTGCCCAAGGGTAGGCACACCTGCTGCCTGGCCCTGTTCCGACCCGACACGCTCCCATCTGCCTGGGGGCCTAGGGGCTGGCTCGCCTGGCCCTTCCCGACCCAAGCCGGAACCTGCTGCCCCCTGACTGCTAGTAAGTGGTCACCGACACAAAGGGGCCAGGCCAGGCTCTTTGGACCAGGGCGGAGAAGACCCTCTCTGTTCCCTGTGGGAAGAGGCCTCCTGCCTTCCTCCTCCTCTTCCTGCTCACATGGGCACAGGGTGTTCTCCTGGCGGGTCAGACAGGACACGGGCGGGGAATCCCGGGAGGTGTTTTGCTGGTGTCCGCTTTGGCCTGGGTCCCACCTCTGAGTCCCCGGGTCCCTGGAAGCAGCCCGAGCCTGCGTCTCGGCGGCAGCACGGGGCACCGAGGGCGGCCGCTGCTGACTGAGTGGAGCGGGTGGCGCAGCACCGGGTTAGGGTCTGTTTTCCAGCTGGCCGTGCTTGACCCTCCAGCTCCAGGCGAAGCTGCCATCTGGGGCCAGGGTGCACTGCAGGTCGATGCCTGAATCTGGCACCTCCATGTCATAGCGCACAGGCTGCCCGTCCTTGGTCACCAAGCTGAAGGCTGCAGCTGGGATCTGGGGCAGAGCAAAGCAGTGGGCCTGAGACAGTGGCCTGGAGCCCACTGGAAGTACAAAGCTGCTGGCCGTGCCCAGCGCCCAGCACTGGGAGATGCCTCCCTCCAGCCAAGCAGGCAGCCCTGAGGGAATTCTCTGCCTTTCACCTGGTCCAAGTCGGGGTCCTGAATACCCCTCAGTTACCACTGCCAGTTTTGCACTGGGACTTTGAGTCCCAGGGGGACATCCAAGGCCAACTAGTGTCTATGGGGCCATTTCTACTTCAGAAACCTTTCTCTAGGAGGGCTGGGCCAGGTGCCCTGGCTTCTGGGATTCTGCCCCCAACTATGTACCTGCCCCTTACCTGGCTGCTGATGCCGGTTGCGATGTCTCCCACCTTGACCCGGTGGAACTCCCGGATGTGCAGGTGCTCCCCATTGAGAGACTGTATTTGGACTTTGACACCTAGAAGGCGAGCAAAGTGATGGTCGGGAAAGTGGCCGCTGGCTCTCCAGGGAGGGAAGCAGAGGGCAGCAGGCTGGCGGTGCCAAGGCTGCACAGACGCTGCTCCGTCTGCAGCCGGCCTGACGTAACACGCCCGCGAGCTCTTCCCGGCCACTTCCTGTCAACACCAGCATGTGGCCTGCACAGAGCAGAGTGCTAAGGTTAGCTTCTATGGGGAAGTAGCACCCCAGGGTGCACATACAGCAGAAAGGAACTGGAGACAAAGATTCTTAAATTAGACTGTAGGCAACTTAGAGTGTGATGTTCCCTGAGCTGGGGCAGCCGAGGGCCTGCTGGCGCGGCCGGAGGCCATGAGTCATGCTGGCCCTGGGGAGGGCCAAGGAACTGTGAGCTGATGAAACCCTTGTTCTCTCAAAATCACAACAGAACTTACACAACCAAGCTTGAAAACTAACTTCTACGTATGTTCTCTCTCCACTTCTGACTTCAAATCCCAGAGAAGGATCCCAGCAAACTTGTGGCTGACTTCCTGATTTAAATGCTTGTCCCTTCGGAAGACGCTCATTGCTCAGCTTCTTGACTGTCGGCCAAGACTTGACTCCTGACCTTGGACACCATCGGCAGCCCTTGGGGGGCCACAGTCCCTCTGCCCCACCAGGAAAGGGCCATCAGGCCCTTTGCTCTAAATGACTCAATGGCCAGATTCTTCAAGTTCTGGCTGCCAGACGCCTCTCCCTCCCTTCCCCATGTGCTGGGGGAAGGGAGATGAAAACTCCTAGGGCTCCCCAGTCCCAGGCGGACCAGGTGTGGGGGGCGCGGAGCACGTGGGGGTTGGACCGTACCATTGAAGTAGCTTGGGGTGTCGGTGGGCCGGCCCCGGGCCAGCACCACATCCCAGCTGGAGCTGCGAGCCTCGGCCTGGCTGCTCCAGGAGTGCACACCGGAGCTCAGGGTGTCCCTCGAGCTCTGAGAGGCCTTCGACGGGTTCTGGAAGGACAAGGTGGCCAGACTCAGGCCCTGTGCTCTGGCCTTGATCTGCTCTCGGGCAAAGGGGCCCTGGGTCCTCCCCTGCGGTGAGGGACTGCTCTTGTCCTAAGCTGGTGCAGGGCTCTGCTGGGTACATTTGGGGCTAAGCAGGGAGCTGAGGTTAGGAGGTGCCCCCGGAACCGGAAGAGGGTGAGCAGTGTTTCCATGGGGACCGAGACCCAAGTGTCCTTCCCCACCATCTCCGGGAGCCACGCCATTCCTTCATTCCTAGGTGTGCTGGAGATGGACTGTCTCACTGTGAGAAACCCGAACTCCCTGCCCCAGTGAGGACCCCTCCTCGGGGGAGGGGGTGACCCCATCCCCTCCCTGTCTTTGCCCACGACTTGCACACAGCCCTCTCACCAGCTGGACATGCAGCCACCCGCTCTGTGCCTCGGCACCTGGTCCACGGCTGACTCACCTTTTCACTGTCATCGGATAGGGAGAGGCTGTCGATGCTGAGGCATGAGAGAATCTGCTCCTGTTCCTCCAGAGAGAATGGCTGGGACAGGCTATTCAGAAACAATTCTGCAGAAAAAAGCAGAAGATGCCGTGAAAAACTGGGAGGATCCAGCCGTGTTGCAGGGCTCTTCCTGCACAGGCCCCGGGGAAGGGGCCAGAAGAGAATGCACGCTGGCTGGAAGGAGGAGGAAGCCCAGGCCGTGGCGGGGCCCAGAGACTCGGGGACCCAGAGGCTGCAGCGCCCGAACCTATTTCCAGCTGCTGCAGTTCCTGCTCCGGGAAGGTGGCCCTCCGTTCCGGTGAGCTGGGGTTTCTGGCGGGGGCTGGCTCCAGGGAGGACAGAGGCAAGGGTTCCCACGTCCCAGACTCCTCCTTGCCCCAGTTCAGGCTTGGACACTTGTTCCGCTCTGGGGGGTCTGGAGGTAGAGGAGGTTGGAGCTTGGGGGCCCCGCCTTTTGTGTCCTCGGCTGGCTGGGGCTCCCAGGGCCCTGGGGGCAGCTCCCTTGGCTGGGCTGGAAGGGCCTGGTGAGAGTGGGCTGGGCTAGGTGGCGGATGGGCGTGGTGTGACGGCAGACGTCTGGGCTCTTTGTAGTCTCCCCTCCAGGGGCTCTTCAGACCCCCCACTGGAAAACAGAGTGCAGTGTGGTGAGGTGGGTGGGCCGCACAGGCTCTGTCCCGCATCCCTCCCCCAACACCTGGTGCTGCCAACACCTCGGGTTCCCCCACTCAAATGGCTGGAGAGTGACAGCTGGCTTTGCTGAACATTCTCTGATCCCTGATGGGCCGGAGCCCCTTTTGGTGTGGCCCCCCCCTTCTCTTGGGCACGCTGCTGAGGCACAGCAGGATGCGCTTTCATCGGTTCGCCTCGGTCTTGCCGATGGGCCTGAAGCTGGGTCACTGCCATGTTCTACACGGGGAAACCGAGGCTCGGGCAGGTCGACACCTTGACCCAGATCACTGTGCTACCCCATAGGCTTGCTGGCCCCTCCAGCCAGCAGGGGGTTCTCACCGTGCTGCAGCGCCAGGCTGACTGTCCGCCACAACTCTACCGCGGACGCGCGGTGGACGGGCTCTTTCCTCAGCCCCTCCTCCAGGGCCCGGGCAGTGAGAGGGGCGCAGGAAGGCGGGATCTCCCTCACGGGCGGAGGCTCGCTGGCAATCTGGGGGTCAAAAGGCAACATGTGAGGCCCGCTTCCCCTTACTTCCCAGCACCCAGCTTTCTCTTCTTGCTTCTCCCTGCTATCCCCACCCTGCTGCACTGCGGTTGGTCACAAGAACTGGAGGGGCCTGGGACTTTTCCAAGAAGAGGGAGAAAGGGGGCAAGATAGGGCAGGCCTGGGCCAGGCAGCAGAAGGCCCAGGACCTCCAGGCCCAGCCTGGGAGGGGCAGGCAGAGGTGGCCCAGGTGTGGACCGGCCAGGAACTCGAGCAGATCCCTCACCTGGGATCTGCCCTTGGAGCCTCAGATTTGGGTGACATGTATTTTCGTCAGGACCCCACATCTGTGGTGAGGCCTCCTCCTGCCCCCTGCTCCCATCTGCTGCCACTGAAGAACCGCTAAAATGCAAGGCCACCTCCGGCCTGCCGCGGTTCCCTCCAGGTGTCTCAGGTGCCATCACTGACCTTGAGGCAGAGCGGCCCTCGGAAGTACTGGGTCCAGGGGTGGCAGCCGTTGAGCATATGCAGCATCATGCAGCAGCTGCTCCACACGTCCACCTTGGCGTCGCAGGGCTTGCCCGTCACCACCTCCGGGGCCAAGTGCGTCTCCGTGCCGGGGATGTAGTCCCCTGTGGGGGCAAGGGAGGTAGGAAAGTCCCCAGTGGCTTCTGAGAGGCGAGAGCTTGGACAGCGACCACCCTAGTCCACTCCTGAGACGCCTTGAATGTGTCTCTGTTCAAGTGCTTTAAATAGAGACAGAGCCGCCACATCCAACCTGCTGGGGATGAGCTGAGTCAGGGGCTCTGCTGGGGCTGGTACAAAGGATACATCCTCCGCATGTGGACTCTGCCCTTGGGGCCAAACCCTTAAAGTGCTTTTTGAAAATGAGGAGGGGCCTGGACATTGAACATGAAGTTGCAGAAGACTAATTAACGGGATCACGTTCCTGAAATTTTAGTCACTGGGAAAAAAAAAAAAAAAAAGAAAGAAAACTATGTATGTAAAAGACTAGAATATTGATACCAGATGGAAGCAGTATTGCTTTCTGGTGACCTATAGTTTTTATTTTTGCTTGGCTCTACTTTCCGCAAGCATATTAGAAAAGAAGTTATTTTTGTAATAAGAATAAAAAAGTTACTTTAAGGTGGGGGGCAGGAATCCACGCCCAACTCGCACCTTCACAATGACCGCCACAGCCCCCCCTTCCCAACAAACAACCACTTCTAAAGGGTGGCCTCTCCTTTCGCCAAAATGAAATTGTTTTATGCCTAATGCTACACATGAGAAAAGCAAGGCAGAACACTGGGTTCTAATGGCCTTAACTATGGACGGAAAACAAAAGACCTGGAAGGAACTACCTGAAATATTCACGATTATCTCTCTGGGCAAGAAGAATGGTGAGAATTCTTTTTTTCCTTCCCTTCTATACCACTTAACTCAGTAGTTGCCAAATATCTGACGATGGATGTGGATTATTTTGATATTTAGAAAAATCTAAGTTAAAAACATATTTCTGCAGCTACAGAGCCCAGGCCTTTGTGCTCCCAGAAACGAAGCTCTCGCGGCTGAGGGAGGCTGAGGTCACAGGCTGGGAGTGCAGCTCCCCCAAAAAGGCTGGACAAGAGGGATGGGGCCATGGCAGCCCCTGGGAGAGGACCGGGGACCCAGGGCAAGGCACGCAGCCTCTCCATTCTTCCGTGTGAGGGGAGCATCAGAAATGAGCAGTCGACAGGCATGACTGCATTTAAGCCTCATGACAAAAGCCTTACAGGGTGGCCCCGGTGGCCGTGGGCTGAAGTAAACTGATAGACGGAGCGCGTGCACACCTCTGCTTGCTGCTACGGGAGGTACAGGAGAAGACACAGGGCTAATGCTCACTAAGGATACTGGCTGTGGTCGTCATGGGGAGGGGGCTTACCTGTGAGCAAGGAACTCCCCAGGCCATCGGGTCGAAGGCACACGGCGTGGCCAAAGTCGCAGAGGGCTGCTCGGCTCCCATCGTTGGACAGGAGCACGTTGTCGGCTGCCAGGCGGCCCCAGGGAAGAGGAGGAACAGGTGAGTCACGGCAGGCCCCGGCCCACCCTGGACTTCCAGTGAGGCAGTTTTCTGGCTGACCCCTACAAGGCAGCTGCTGCTTCTGATTAATTCCATTAATCATGGAAGAAGCGGGGAGGGTATCAGCTCAGGCTCCAGGCCGGCAGCAGGCAGGAGCAGAGTTTACTCCCGGGGGAGGCTGCCCCCCACCCCCAGGTAGTAGCTCGACCTGCAGTTCCCTGTGGGCACCACCCCTGTGGGCAAGTGCAGTGCCAGGCTGAGGGCTAAGAGAACGCTTCCTGCTGGCACACCCTCTCTGGAGGGGCCGGCGAGGCCCGTAGATCGGGCAGGAAATCACGCAGGATGGGAGCGGAGGTAACCCGCTGGGGAACAAGGCCTCACCTTTGACGTCGCCGTGCAGAATCCTGCGAGTGTGGAGGTACTCCAGCCCCTCCAGGGCCTGGCCCAGGTAGTAGAGGGCTCGGTCCTCCGGCAGACAGCCCTGCTGCTTTATGAGCTGGCCCAATGAGCCACCTAGGAGACCAACGGCCAGGCTTTACGTGGGGCTCTTCCAGGCCTCCAAGCCAAGGGCAAGGGCCCTGGAAGGGCAAGTGGTGGAGAAGCAGGCCTTTCCTGCCAATGTCACAGGGTCAAGAGGTTAAAAATGGACCTACTGGGGACCAAGGTCAACCTGGGCAAGACTCGGGGAAACCCTTGGCTCTGAATTTTGAGGGAGAAGGTGGGGGACCTAGCTCCTCACCTTCCAGCAGTTCCATGAAGATGTTGACCCAAGGCCCTTCCTTCACCGCTCCATACAAAGGGACGATTCTGGGCGAAGCCAGTCCTGCACATGACGTCAGCTCCTCAGCCCGAAACACATCAACACGCACCTGGAGGGGCCCAGAGGTGGCTGTGAGTCAGGGCGAGGGGCCAGGGCTGGCTCCCCGCACAGATACTGCTGGCATTCCAGCAACGGTTCTGAGGCCAGGACCCTCAGGGGACCCTCCGAGGCCAAACCGTGCACACTGGGAACAGGGGCAACTCCCAGGGCTTGATTCAAGTTCTGCAAGGCTGACATCTACAAAACCACAAAAGCCTGCAATCCTTATCTAGGCTCCTGGCACGCTGCCCAGCCTCAAATCTGCCAAGCACAGAATTTTCTTTCCCCAACACGAATGTCTGGGCATTTCTAGGACACAGGACATCTCGTTCACCAACATCCACAGCTGGGTCTCTGACTTGTCTAGCGCCAGGGTCCATGCTGCCAAGATCCTGGCTCTGCCAATGCCTCAGAACCCTCAACACTCTTCTCTGATTGTCTCTTTCCTTTGAGGACTAAAATGTCCATGCAGACGGTGTGGTGCTGTTTATTCTGTTCGCAGCGGTTTCCCCAGCATCTGGGCCTGAGAATACCCACTCCTTTTTGCAGTGGCCAGTACGGAACGGCAGGAAGAAACAGACCCTGGATACCGACATCCTGGGCAGACACCCTGGCGTAGCCACTTCTGAAAGTAGATGAATTCTCCTAAGCTATGCATTTCCATAAGTGAAAGGCAGGCACAGGGGCATCTGCTCCTGGGCAGAGGGAAGATTTGACGGGGTGATAACCAGCACTGGGCCTGGCAACCATCGGGTGTTCAGGAAACACTGGCTTCCCACCTCCTCCCTCCAACCCAGGTAAGAGCAGCTTATCAAATGCTTAGACTTCCTAAATTGACTTGTTCTTCCTGGCTGCCTGTGGGGGTGGGGTGGGGGAGGTGGGGCAGAGGTGTCTCAGGTTCGCCTTAAGAGGTACCACCAGGGGGCGCCAGTGGTAGCAAAACCAGCCTGGAAGAAATTAGTCAGGACCTGGCAGTTTTCTTTGGAGACTTGCTGACTTGGCAAGCAGGACCTCTGCGATGTGGGGTTTGGGGACTTTTGCCTATCAGTGGAAAATGTCTCTCTTCTGGTTACGTAAAGAATATCTGGTTTTGTTAATCAATTCGCGTGAACTTTGACTCTTTGTCAGTGTTTCCAGCTCTGAACCTGAGTTGGAACTAAGTTACCAACGGGACTTGTATTAACAAAATGTCTGTAATCTTAACTGCTCCCAAACTGTTAGCCGGAGCGCCTCGGGGCACCACGGAGAACTCAGACGGGTGCGCCAGGGCATTTTTACTTTTGGGGGAAACAGCAGTGGTGCACATCCGCGGGGCACCGTGCAGACGGCTAGCTGGAGACAGTTCCCTTTCAACGCTAGACGCGCCTCGTTCTTTTTGAGGATGTATCTTGATGAAGCGCGGGTTTTGGAGGTGGTTGTGATAAACACTCAGACAGATCACGTGGCGTGGGAGATGGAGGTGATGATGGTGTCCAATCTGATTTCAAAGCTCGAGAAGCTGTGCGGTCCCAGTGAGGAGGACGTCCCATTAGTAATTATGGTGGTTTGAGAACAGAAAAGGGAATTTGCTTTCCATTCATGTGCACTGTTATTCAAATGGCTACTAAGTTGTTAAGATAAAGACACTATTTGACCTAATTACTCAATAAATGGAACGGTTAGGTACTTGTTTTGGCCTGGGGCACCATGAAAAAATTACGAGCTGGGAACCAAGAAAGTTTGGAACCTCTGCTTTAACTTTCCAGAGATCCATGAGTCCTCTAGAGCCATCGGCAATGTTTTAAAACCGTTCCCACTGACCCAACCAAGGGGGGTTGAGGGAGACTCTTTAAAACATAAGCTGCTTTGGAAATCTGTGCTGGCTCAAGGGAGAGAAGCTGAAAGGGTGCTCCGAGGGAGTTCGGAGGGGTGGGGGGCACGGGGTGGGGGGCGGGGAACACAGGGCTGCACAGCCCGGGCAAGCTGCCCGCCCCCTCTGGCCCACTCCCCTCTCTGGTCTTCAGTGTCCTCCTCTGGAAAGTGAGGGCTGGCCCGTGATAGGGTGTTAAGGAGAACTAACGTGGGATGCACACGCAGCACCTGCCCGATCGCTGGTTATCTACATCTCACAAATGCCGGTGAGGTGATACTGTGTCCATAGAGCAGGCGCTTGGGAGCCGCTGGCTGCACTCGGCCAAGGCCACACTGGCCCAGGTCTGCGGCAGAGATAAAAAAGGAGACCCCAGGCCCCCGTGCCACAGCTGGATGTTCTCAACTGACCTTAACCCTCTTCCAGCCACAGGAGCCTCTGAAAATCTGATAAATGACATGAGCCCTCCCCCATCAAAACTATGTATGCATCCACACATTCCACACGTGCCACACACAGACACACACGTGTGCACGCACACACATCAGAATGAAGTTCTGGGGGTTCGTGGGTCCTGTGAACCCATCCACTGATGGGGCTGAGCACCTTCACGTTGCTTGTTAAAAAGCATGAGTGCAATGCACACACACCTAGAAGGAAGTCTGCCCACAACATACTTTCATATGAGAAAAGCACGGCACGGAGTAACCTCTGGGTACGGTCTCATTTTAAGAAAGGTCACAACTACACGTTTATAACAAGTTTAACATAGATTTAGATTTTTGCATAACAAATCTAAAAAGATTTATGTCAAAGAATGGGACCGGGGACCGGAGACTTCTGTTTTTTGGTTATCATTCAAATTCTTTTATATAGTGAGCCTGTATTTATTTGCAATTACGAGACCAAACCAAACCTTAAAAACCAAACAACCTCTACATTAAACCCTGGACTCGTGACCAATCAGCGTCTGACCTGGGGCCATGGGTGCTCTGGAAAGAGGACCAAGGAAGTGTGGTCCTCGCCCTGTGCTGGGTCCTCCTCAGGGAGCGTCGGAGGGTGCACAGGCTTGCTCTGACCCTAGGTGCAGCCTGACCTCTGACCCCTGCCTGCCCACCCCCAGCCCCACCCCCTCAGCAGGGAACTGTTCTCAGGTCTTCCAGGCGAACATCCTGAAAGACCCTACTGCCTACCCTCCCCAGAGAGAAAGGAAAGGAGGGGCTGTCGGCCCGGCCAAGGGCAGCTGTGTGAACTGCCCAGGAGCCACGCCCGTGGAGACTCTGGGCAGCAGGAGAGGTCGGAGAGTGGACGCCCTGGTGGGCCCCGGGGGGAGCAGAAGCGCGGAGCTGATGGGTGGGAGGTCAGGTCAGTGCTGGGAGCTTGCCTCGCTGCCCCGGGAGGTGGGAAGTGGAGTGTTTGTCGTCTTCTGCCTCGTCAGGGCTGTTTACCCTGTTGCCTGGGACTCAGAACTTCAGCAGGCGAACAGCTGAGAAGCCGGGTGACTAAGCTGCCCAGCACTGGCCATTCATCTCCAGGGCACCTCACACCCTCCGCTCTCCTCCCACCGCCTCCCCAGAGGGACAGCTGAGCCTTCTCCAATGGCCCAGGGAGGGAGCTGCAGCTGAGGAGGTGGGCACGTGGCCCTGGCATCCCGGTGGAAGACGACCCGGGCTGGCAAGAACCCCGTGCATGTTTTGGTCAGTGGGGGCTGACGAGGGTGGAGCTGGGTTATTCGACACGGTGTGTCTGAAGTTTGGGGTAATCCCTGCGGATAGTCCCCACTCTCCTGTCACCGGGGGCTGGGACCCTGGAGCTCTTAACATCCTGGCCCATATTTGAGCTGGGAAGCCGGGCTTGTTAACATCACAATTTGTGCTTCACCCCTTAAAGCCACAGGCTCCAGAGTTGATGTCCACTCTGCCCAGGGCCTGGTCTGGCTGCGTGGTGGTGCCTTTCCACCTGGGGGTCAGAAGATCCTTGACCAAAGCTGCTGGAAAGCAAGGTCCCTCTCTGGGCTAGTTCATCTCCCCTTGCCAACAGGCCCGGGAAACGGCCCACAAAAAGGTTTCTGATTTATGGCTTCGGGCCAGGGCTGGAGGCTCCCAGGCAGGGCACGCTGAGAGTCATGGAGGGGAGAAGGTGGCGGAGGGGCGGCAGGGCCAGCACCTCCCCGGTCTGTGGGCTGGTGTGTGACTGGGCAGGAGAGGCCTCAGTTCCAGGCCGGCTGTGTGGCTTCGGGCAGAAGGCACATGACTCTCTCTGGTCCCCAATTCCAGTACCGGGGAGATGAGAGAGTGGAGGGGAGATGAGAGAGTGGAGAGGCGACTCACGCCTCTGTCTCCGACCGAATTCCTGGGACCCTGGGTCCTGCTCCCCACCTTCCCTGAGAAGTGGTTCAAAGGTGGGCTCTGGTCAGACCAGCCGGGGTCTCTTGCTACGTCTCACTTCCCCATGCTGTCCACCTCCCAGGACCTGGGCGACAGGAGGCAGAGCAGACGCTGAACCAGACTGCACTTCCCACATGCGCGGCCTCCTCCGGGAGGCCCCTGTCAGCTGGAGGCTCCTGGTCCAGGTGTGGGGTGACCCCACCACGTGGTGGCCCCACTCTGTGGTTAGGGGTTTCAGCCCCACGTGAATAACGATCCGCCCGCCTCCTGGGGTTACTTGCCCCTGGCTTAGCCTCAGGAGTGGCCCAGGCTGCACACACTCTCTGGTTCCCTCTCAGGGACACAAACCCAGCGCGGGTCTGGGCTGGGACGTGTGACTGAAGCCCCATTAGCAAGTCAGACTCCAGACCACCCTGCGACTGTCCTTGAAGGGACGCAGGGGAGCGCAGCAGGGCACCTGGCTCGGCCTTCGGCCCGGAGCTCTGGCACTCTTTCTGGCGTACCTTCTTGACGGCGCACTGGAAGCCGGTCTGCTTGTCCTCCATCCTGTGCACCTCTCCGAAGGAGCCTCTGCCCAGGCAGGGCTGGCGCCTGGCCCAGTGGACCTCCTCCCGGTACTCGTAATCCACAGGTTTCAGTTTCTGGAATTGGCAGGAGAGAGGCCAGTCTCAGTGGCCAGGGCCGCGGAGTCACGGTGGGGAAGGCTCTGCGTCAGGTGGTCCTCGCCAGGCCACTGGGCTGAGCCCTCACTGCCACAGACACCGCTGCGCGGGGGGGCTGGGAGGGCGGGACCCAGGAGCGGGTTATGGGAATAAGGTGAAGGCAAAGGAGGCCCCCCCCCCCCACCGTGCTGCCTGAGGCTGACTGCTCCTCGTGATGAAAAGCCTCCCACACTTGTGGGTATGGGACAGAAGTGGAATTGGCAACTACTTGACAATGAAAAAATACCCCTCAGTAGCTAAAGGGAAGGAGAAAGGGAAGGGGCGGGCGCCGAGGGACAGTGTCTGAGGTGGATGGAATAAAGCTCGGAAGTAGAAGTGTGCAAAAGCCATTTAAAGTTCCAGACTTTTTTAACTAGAGAGAGAGAGAGCCAGAGGAGGAGAACTAGAGAAAAAGGGGGAAGAAGGAAGCAGTGAACAGGGGCACCGTCCCCCCGTTTCCTTATTGGGGTCACTGGGGAGGCTCTGAGGTTGGTACTTGCTCCTGTTTCTCGGTGTGTGTGATATTCGTGTAACACGCACACACTTTGGCAGTAATGAAGGAACCAGACAGAACTGAAAATAGAAATGGCTAAAAAGACAGGAAAGGGAGCCTGCAGTTTGAGTGGGGCATTACTGCCTGTCACCAACGACGCGTCATTTGCTACGATTCCATTTTTAACCACATGCATGAGTGATAGTGATAAAGAGAAAAATCATCCCCGTAAAGGGTGTGAACTTGACAGTGGGTCTGGCAGGTTCCCAGCGACGCCCCTTCTCCTCCCATAGCAAACCCCCGACGCCCAATTCCCACCTGCTGCCCTTGAGGCAGGACTTGGTGGTGGTGGTACATGTGCGTGTGTTTGGGGGATTATTTACCTCAGTGAGCAGGACCCCCTCGCTGTCTTCAGCTTTGGGGCTGCGCTCCAGGGGCCTGGAGCCCTGCGCCGTCCAGGTCTTGGCCAGGCTGGCCAGGCTGTGGGGCTGCCCGGAGCTCACGCTGCCTTGCAGGGCATGCACCAGGTACTCCTCCACAGAAAACTTCTCGTGAGAGCCGAGAGGCGGGCAGCTGGGCTCCAGGGGTGGGCCAGGCAGGGGCCTCTGACTGTCTACATAGGCCAGTTTGCCCAGGGCTGGGCCAGGCAGGGGCTGGTGGCTCTCCACACCGGCCAGCTTGCTCAGGAAGAAGGACTCTAGGCGGTGAGGTTTCCAGGGCTGGAGAGGGTGGAATGGGAAGGGGTGGGGAAGCCTGCTGTAGGGGAAGGGGTGAGCGGGCTGGGGCAGGGGGCCCACGTCCTGGGGGTGGTGGAGTTTCCACACGTGGCTGAGACACTGCAAGGGGCTGATCAGCTTGTGGAGCTCCGATCGAGGCAGCGCTGGACGCGGTCCCTCCCCGAGTTTCTTAAAACAGAGTTGGCCGAGGCCTGGCTCCTTCAGAGGCTTGGTGAACTGGGGGGCATTTCTAATATATGGGGTACCGCGTAGGGACTCGTCCTCCTGCGGGGAAAACACAGGCGTTAGGAGACAGGGCCCGGGCACAGGCGCTGTGGCCCGGGCCCGGGGATGACGGCGGGTCTCACCTGCACAGGGACCGTGCAGCTCTCCTGCTCGGGCGTTCTGGGAAGCGGTCTGGCCAAGGCCACTCCTGCCGGAGCCGGGGACTTGGAGCTCTTCTTCTTGCGTTTCTTCCGGGCTTTGCTGCGGCGCTTCCCTTTCCAACACACACGAGCCATTTTGCCCTCCGTTGCATGGGCCACATTGTTGGGGATCTGATCAAGGCTCTCAGACTGGCTGTCAAAGAGGCGACAGACAAGCATTTTGAGAGCGAGGAGGGGGGAAGACACAACCGCTTAGATCACTGTGGTGAGAGTCGTAGACAAATCCCAGCTTACTCGGTACCGGTGGGAAGATGGGAACATCCCTAAAACCCAGGAACCTCAGTCTCCTCATCTGTGAAATGGGTGCAGCATTTTCTGCCATGTAGGTGGAGAGGTTTAAAGAAATAGCTCATTTAAAAAGCCTACCTCGGTGCCTGGGCCCAAAGGGGAGCGTCCAGTGAGCAAGACTACGGTTGGGACAGCGTACTGCTCCTCCAGACACGCCCTACTCCCGCTCTCCAAGCTGGGCTGCCCCTGGAGGTCCCAGAAGGTGGCGTGTGACTCCGAGGGTCCCACTCCAAGGTGGGCATTCTTAGCTCTGACTGACCAGAGTTTGTTTCCGTCCCCTTCAGAAGAAGGGACGGTCGAGGTTGGTCACCTCTGGTACCTGGTGGCCATAGGGATGTGAGGAGCCACAGAAACAAAGACACTTGCCCGAGCGACCGGGCACTGGAGGAGCCTGGCCCGCTCTGACAGCCCGAGGCTCACCGCCGCCACGGGTGTCCCTCGGCTCTCACCCCTGCCCGGTCAGACCACGGCCTCGCCTGCCCTGCCATGGCCCCAGTCCTGGGAGGCTGCTAGAGGCCAACACACTTCTCTTGGGTAGCTGAAAGAAGCGGGTCCGTGGGAGACCGCCGGCCCTGGGCAAAAGGTACCTGGGGCAGCGTGCGGAACCTGACCGAACGCTGAGCGTTTCAGGTCTGAGGGTGGCAGCCCACCCCACAACTTTTTCTTTATCACCAGCAGTTTCCAAATTCCAATGATAAAAAAGTCCGACTCGCAGTAGAAGAGGAAGTTGTTTCCAGGTTTAACTTTCAGTTGCCAAAAGGCATCTCTGGGGACGGGGAGTCTGGGAACAGGCTGAGCCGCGCTCGGCCTCCTTCCGACAGGCCCACGGAGCCGTGAGTCTGTCTGTCCCGCCTGTGTGCAAACGCGCATCCCTCCCGGGGTGTGTCTCGCAGGAGAAAAGGCACAGTAGGCTTCTCCCACAGTTCGAGGGCCCCCTCTGGGCCTGCGCTCACAGTCACACGCCAGCGAAAAAGCGCCCCGTGTTCCCGGCACCCTCCCTAATTGATGGGAAACGAGGGGGAGCAGCGAGGACTCTGAGGGGAACAAAAATAAAACGTCAAGCTGATGTGACCCAGAGGCAGTCATCCACACACCGTGAAAAGCTTTTGAAAAGCTTATTTGGCCGAGAGAGCAGCTCAGCCAGGAAAGCCTGGGCGGGTTCCAGGGCTGGGCCACAGGTGCTGAGGGCGGGGGCCGGGGCCTGGGTGGGAGCGGCCAGGGCGGGCCACCGTGGGTGGGAGGACGCTGGCTCCGTGTGCCCTGCAAGCTCGCCTCCTTACCTGTACTGTTTCGACCCGGCGATGAAAATCCGTTCGGAAAAGGTGGGGCTGAACTCTTGGCTGTTCTCACCTTTGGAGTAAAGAAGAAGGCATTGGACAGGCAGGAGGGAGAAGGAGCGGGAATTCAGCACTCGGGAGAGAAGCGATTTGCAGCCGCCTGCCTGGGCCGCCCCTCCCCCGCCTCTGCAGGCCACCTCCCTGTGGTGGCCCACCTCCTCACCCACGCCGGCCATGCCGGCCCCTCTGGCGGGCTGTCTCACCCCACCCTCCCGGTCTGAAGGTCACGAGCACAGGGCATGCCTACAATGTGGGGTCGCAGGGCGCCCACCTCACTTCCTTCACTGTGAAGCTTCAGTGAGATGGTCCCTATGAAACCCTCAACACAGCGCTCGGCACATGCAACAGCTCAAAAAATATAAGCTGTTATTTATGTATTTACATATATGTGCATTATGTGCGTTTATGGGAGTCCTAGTACAGTCTGTCACTCGCTGCACTTCAATTCTTATTCTCTTATCTCCTCAAAAACTGGGCAGAAGGCAGCAGAAGACAAGAAGGGTGTATGTGGGCAAATGCCAGCGCAAGCTGCCTGCCTTGGCCCCCGGAAACCTAGTGGGCCGGGGAGGAGGGAGACTCCTGGCCCCCGCAGCCCTCCCGGGGGCCTCTCGGGCTCTGGGGGTGGCCCCCATTTCGAGCCCTTCCGAGGTGCTGTGAGCTGAGTGGACAGGGGTGCGGGAAGGCCCAGGCCAGGCCCCCACCGCCCCGCAGCAGCCTGCCACCCATCAGCTCGCCCAGCAGGCCCCGAGCAGGTGTTCGTTCTCTGGGGTGGGGCCGCCGGGAGGTGGAAGAGAACCAAGCCCCACAGGGGCTTTCCAGGAGACCTGGCCTTTCCTGTCGGGGCCTCTCCTGGGATGCTCGGGCTGCCTGAGGCCACGGAGAAGGCTAGGGGCCTGCTCGATGATCCAGCAGCGAGTCCCCCGGGCCTGTGAAGCCCCCTACTTCCTCCGCCCAGCCCTCTTCCCTGCTCTGGTCACAGTGGGCAAAAGCCCCCACTGGCCGCTTCTCCCTTCTTCGGTCCCACTCCCCAGTGCCGTTATAGCTCCCACCCCGCGCTCGTCCTTGGCTTAACCCCCAGCTGCGTCCTGTGAGAATCACACAGAGCGGCCAGTGGTCTGATCTCCCTCTTGCGTAGGGGTCCCCGAACCTCACCTGTGCCATCCACCCTTGCACAAAGACTGCACCCACTTGCAGGCCGCCCCCCCCTCCACCAACCCCACCCCAGCCGGGCCCCCTTACACTCGGCCTGGGCAATGATGGAGATGGCGGCCGGCCCTCCCTTGGAGCCTTCTTTGGCTGTGCCTTTGGTGATCACGTCGTTCAGGATCTCCCACTTCCCGCAGAACACGGGGCTCTTCTCCACGGCCTCGAGCTTGTGGACAGGGCTCTGCTGCTTCCCTGGGGCCTGGGTCTTTTCCTTGGCTTTGGCGGGCTCCTTCTGCCCAACCGCGGAGCCAGGAGCGCCTGGGCAGGCCACCTCCATCACTGCCATCTCCCAGGCTCACGCTTGCCCTGTGGGAGGGACCAAGCACAGAGCAGGTCACTCACCCCAAGGGGCCCAGGGCCCGCTTGGCTTGCAGGATAAAAGTGGGGGACATCGGGCTCAGCCTGTTTACGCCACACATATTTATCCTTCAAATGTTCCAAGTGGCAAAGAAGTCCACCCGCCGCACATCTACACGGCCCCGTGGGCTGTGAGCCCCTGGCCCGACGGCACACCTCCCTCCCCAAACAGACCCTTCCCCGCTGCCCAGAGGGGGCTTCCAGGCCACCTCCTCCGGCAGCCGTGGCACTGACACCTGGGTTGGTTCTCTCTTGCCTGGTTCGCCTGTTTGTTTTATGGCCAAGTTTGCTTCCCCAGAAGAGGGTGGTGGATCCTGTATTCCAAAACCATTAGTCACAGCACTGACTGTCCCAGCCTTGTCTCCTTAGGGGACATGTCCCCACTGTCCACAGTGGCTCCAGCAGGAGAAGAGAGGTTTTGTTCCCCAGCAGGAGGCAGGTATATGTGTGTGCGTGCATATGTGTGTGTGCACGTATATATGTACATATATGAAATCTAACGAAGTCCAAGAACCAGCAAGCGGCAGCACCAGCACTCGGCTCCTGTCCCAGGAAGCATCTGTTGGTGGCCCTCAGAAGGACCCGAGCAGAAGGACCAGGCTTCCTTCTGCGTGGTCCAGCCTCATTTGCTGGAAACCTCTCCTAGGTTTCATTTTTCTCTCGGGCAACAGTAGTGGTGGAATTTCTATGAGCCTCCAGCGCCAACCTGCACCTCTAGAAATAGGAGGACAGAGCCCGAGAATTCACCTCTCTCTGGGCTCCATCCCCGCCAGCCCTGTGTGTCACCAGGAGCTGCAGGGTAGCCCCGTGTGGTGACAATCTGTGCCAACAGTGTGTGGATGGGAAGGGCCACGCGGTGGAACGGCAGCGGCCTGAGACTGTGACCCTCTGGGAACCTTTTCAGAGACTGAGACCGTGAACTCCCAAAAGCCTGAGAAGGCACCAAATGCAAACAGGTCTTTCCTAAGGGCTCTCTGGCCCTGGCCAGTGTGGCTCGATTGGCTGGAGCACTGTATCATGTCCCAAAGGTCACAGGTTCAATTCCTCACCGAGGTACATACCTAGGTGGTGGCTTTGGTCCCTGGGTCCCTGGGATCTCAGGTGTGGACAGGAGGAAAATGATTGATATTTCTCTCTCCCTTTCCCTTCCCTTCTCTCTTAAATCAATGGATGTATCTGCCGGCAATGATTTAAAAAATGTGCTCTCTCTGGTGGCAGTCTGGTCTTAGAGCTGTTACTAACAGCTGTAGCTACACTCATCCGGAATCACAGGTCACGCCCCCGTGTGCTGGTGGGCGGGAAAGGCAGACCATGTGAATGCAGCCAAACCTCTGCCGCCTCTGGCCCCTCCTCCTGTCAAGTTTAAATGAGACAGTGGGAAGCTGGGACACATTAGGCTGAAACCTTCCTACTGACTCTGCCTCACCAAGGCGGCTATGAGAGACTGAGCCAGTCTGGGGGGTGGCGGGGGATGAGGGCGCCGGGTGTGCTGGTCTCGACTGCTGTGGTCCTTACAGCTGGGCTGCGAGGGCCTTCTCACTTGGAACTCAGAGGGGCTCCGGCTTTCAGCGAGAGTGCCTGGGTTTGGTCCCGGGGGCTCGGGGCTAAGGAGGCTCTGTGGGTGACCTCACTGTTACTTGATGACCCTAAGAAGTCGGGGGAGTGTTCCGACTTCAGTTAGATGAACACCCTCCAAGGCAGGCTGGTTTCCTTGTAACCATCGTTCTCCCCGCCCCACACCTCTGCCCTTCCCAGGTTCTTTACCAGGGGAGCCGAGATCTTACAAACAGACCAAACCTCCAAGCCCATCAGCCTGAGAGGTCTGCTTACAGGAGCCTGCACGTGACTCTAATGTCCTCACTTTCGCTTGAAGAAACTGAGGCCTAATTTGGCAGTGACTTGCCCCAGGTCACCCAGACCTAGGCAGGGCAGGGCCGGGACCTAGAACCCCAGCTCTTGGCTGTGTGGCCTGCTCCCCAAGTATCTTGGTAGCAGGCAAATGCAAGGGGGGAGCTCATAGTCCTCCCTGGCCAGAGGGCTCCTGAGGGCACAGCAGGGCGCAGACGAAACAACTGAGGTTGACTGAGTGAAGGAAGCAGTAGTAAGCTTCCGGACAGGATGATCCTGAGCCTGGGGGTGGAGAGAGAGTTCCATCGGACGGGGGAGAGAAACGAGGCCAGATGGTCAGCGGTGGTTCCGAGGGCGCCCAGCTGTTCAGGGTCTGGCTGTGCTGGGCTCCCACAGGCGTCTGCTGGACGCGGCTCACCCTGAGCGAGAGCTCCACTGGAGAGGCTGTGAGGGACCCTCTCACCCCCAGCAGCTGCCCTGTCTCCTTAGTGATTAGGTGGGCCACTGGCCAGGGTCCCTGACGCTCCCTCCATGAGCATGTCAGCTCCCCAGCCCCGGAGAAGCCCAGGCGGAGGCAGCCGAGCTCAGGGCCTCTGCAGTTAGTTCCCCAGTGACTCATCCAACAGGCTGGCAGGCAGAGAGAGAGGAACAAGAAGGCTGTTGAAAAGCTAAGCCAGCAGCTGGCAGCTGAATCTGTGAAGGGCACAGGGAAAACGGCCTGACCCTCACCTCCCAGGGGCACGAAATCACGGTCCGGGGACTGGAGAGCTTTGCCCGTGGCTGGCTTTCCTGGGCCACATGACCATGACTCAGGCCCTCATCGACAGACTCCAAGTTCAAGAGGCTATTCTCGGGACACTCTGGCCTCACAGCAATTCTTTCACTCACTCACACACACACACACACACACACTCTCTCTCTCTCTCTCTCTCTCTCTCTCTCTCTCTTACTTGCTCCTTCCCTCCTCCCCTGCTTCTATTTCCCACTTCTATACCGGTTCTGATCTACAAAAGCAGGTTCTGCATTACTTGTGGAACTGATGGCCAGGGGGCCTTCCCAGCCCTGGGTTTTGGTCCCTGGCTTGTCACCCCAGCTCACAGACCCGCAGCTCTGTGGCCTCCTCTCTCCTGCAGCTTGTGGAGAGTGAGGACTAAGTGGGAGCCAGTTATATCTCTGCCTTTGAAGGCAGATCAAAATCCCCATCCATTGCTCAGCCTGGACTCTCTCCCTGGCCCCACTCACGCCTTGAATGCCCTCAGGCCCCTGCTCCGTCAGAACCAAGGACGTATGTGAGCAGCAGCAATGACCAGATCCACTCAGACCAGGAGGGCTTGAAAACAAAAGTGGAAGGGAAAGGGGTGGCATTCACTCAGTGTTTATTCTCCTGGGGCCTGATGCAGGTACATTGCCTGTTTTCTCTGCCGTGGTGCCTCGATGGGCCCCTGGGAAAGCCTGGGGGTCAGAAGCCTGGGATGGGACCAGACCGACCCTTGAGCGGGTCTGTATGACAGGCTTGCCGTGGACAAGGTTCCTGGACCCTGAGACTCAAACTTGGCTCCCTCACGGGGTGGCCAAGTCTTCTAGCCTAGAGGTGGAGTCCCTAGTGTGGGTTCGAAGAGGGCTTCAGGATGGTCTGTGAACCCCATAACTACACAGAGTTTTAGTGTTTTTCCAGGGAAGAGGTCCATAGCTTCTGTCACAATCCGTAAGGGTCTGACATTCCGCAGAAGGCTGCTGTAGTCCCCCGAAGGATCGAGGGCTAGATGCCCGATGCCGGCTCTGCTCTCCCGCCCCGAGGAGGCGGGCACGCAGCTATGGCAGCAGTTTCCAACCCGCCTGTGGGTTAGGATAACCAGAGGCGCCTGAAAAGGCCCTTGCCCTGGACGCACTGGATCTGCCACTGGGCACTAGGCCCAGAATCTGCTCTTTTCACAAGTGGTCTGGGTGATTCTGATTCCAAGGGGTCAGGGATTCATGAACATTTTACCCCTCTCTGTACTGTAAGGCTGCGCTGTCCAATATGGCAGCCACTAGCCGCATGGAGTTGTTTACCCTTAAATTTATGAAAATTAAAGAAAATGTAAGAATCTGTTACCGTAGCTACTCTGTTGGACAGTGCAGCTGGGGAATATGTCCATCTCTATAGAAAGTTCTACTGGAAGTTCTGCTCTAAGGCTACGGAATCAGTGTTTTCTTGACAGAAAAATGTCCATTCCTAGGTTTCTGAGACAGGAATGGGGTTTGGATTCAATGCATTTTTAATTAACTAGAGGGCATGAAAATAATGTTTTAAACATGATCTTCAGTGTCGAGAACCTCTCTGAAACGTATCACGTTTCACTTCTCTGTTGTAGTACGTATGGTAAAAACACCAGACTAGGAACCAGGAGGCAAGAGTTTTAGCCTTGGCAAGTTTAAACGAAAAAACAAACAAAAACCAAAACCAAACAAACAAACCAACAAGCCAGTGGGACCCTTTTTGTCGAATGAAATCGTACCTCAACTCCAGACACACAGAAGAGCTAGAAGCACGCAACTGACACGTAACTCACAGTGGGACTGGCCGCTCTGCTACAGAAGGTGGGCAAGGCTCCTACCTCCTTGGCTTCCCTTCCCCCACCCTGGCCCTCTGTGGACTCCTAGGTTTCCAAGGAAAGGAGTTTGCAAACCAGAGGCCTAGGAAATCTTCCGAGGTTCCTTCTAGGTCTCCAAATGCCACCGGTTTGTCACCTCAAATATTTGAGGGCCAGATGACTCTAATTCAGAATGATAATTGTCCATATTTACTGAGCACCTACCGTTATTAATTTCCTTTTCTGAAGTGAAGACCGAGAAGCTCAGGGAAGCTCAGCGACCCACCAAAACAGTCACACAGTCGCACAGTCACCAGGGGCAGAGGCCTGACCCCACGCTGCTGCACCCCCAGCCTGCACACCGACCCTCGGGAGGCCCCCAGTTTCTTCTCTTCGAGTCTTTGGAGTACTTTTGAGGACTCAGTGAGGTAGAGTACAGAGATGCCGATCGGTGTGCCTGGCCAGTACGAAATGCTAAATGGAAGTTTACCCCCTTCACCAGGCCCATAAAAGCCACCACCGAGACAA